ATCAAAGTGGAATAAGGGCCTACTCTCTGGGTCCTAGGATTGGATTCCATGAATCAGTTACGCAAGTTTCAGGTCCCAGGGCGGGTTGGGAGCGGCGTCCTGCTGCGACTGCTGCCTTCGGCAAAGAAGCTCAATGACCGCAACCACAAAGGTCTAGGGCCTAGAGGGTTTAGGGTTTAGGGTTTAGGGTTTAGGGTTTAGGGTTTCGGGTTTAGGGTTTAGGGTTTAGGGTTTAGGGTCCCGATCCAATGAGGTCTGGCTCTGGCTGGCTGAGGTGCCTCCTTTCACCCTAAACCCCACGTGACCCTACTTGAAGGCTCATGGGTACTGATAAGTAGGGCTATAAGCAGGGGGGGGGGGGCCTAGAGATTTTTGGTATCTACGACCCTCCTTATAAGTACCCATGAACCCCCCCCCCCCCCAAAGAAAAAAAAATAAATAAACCCTAAACCCTAAACCCTAAACCCTAAACCCTAAACCCTAAACCCTAAACCAAAAAACAAGAAACTCCAAGTACCCCCAAGAGAGCCCAGCCTCAGAGGTATCCTCCTGCGGCCTGGATGGCCTCGATCTCGCGATTCATTGGCAGCCACGTCCTTTGGTAGGCGGCGGGGAGTTTAGGGGTTTAGGGTTTGGGGTTTGGGGTTTAGGGTTTCGGGTTTAGGGTTTAGGGTTTAGGGTTTAGGGTTTAGGGTTTAGGGTTTAGGGTGTAGCATTGGTCAGCTGAACGCAATAGTATGAAGACATGCCCACCCCGAGGCCACCCAAACACTACTCATCACGGAACCAAACCGGAGCCAGCCAAAGCCAAGCCAGCCATTCAATTTTCATATCTCGAACATGTTTAGAGGACACTAAGACAGAACACTGCGAATGTTTCAGATTCACACCTCGAACATGTTTAGAGGACACTAAGATAAGACACTAAGATAAAACACTGCGAGTGCTTGGGGCATTTGCGCGCAATGGCCTTGACACAATGCACTCGGCACAACACAGCTGGCGCAATGCACTTGGCACAAGGCGCTTGGCACGATGCCCTTTGGCACAATGCACTTGGCACAGAGCACTTGCGCAATGCACTTGGCACTATACTGCAGTTGGCACACGCAGCACAATGCACTTGACAGAATGCCTTTCGGCATAATGCCCTTTTGCGCAATGCACTTGGCACAATGCACGCCTGGAACAATGCACTTGGCACAGAGCATGGACTTGGCACGCACTTGGCACAATGCACTTGGGCGCAATGCACTTGGAACAATGCACTTGGCACAATGCACTTGGCACATGGGACAATGCACTTAGCGCAATGCACTTGGCACAGTGCACTTAGCACAACGGACTTGGCGCAATGGACTTGGCGCAACACACTTGGCACAGCAACGCGGCTCTTACCTTGACACAATGCACTGGGCACAACGGACTTGACGCAATGCACTTGGCACTAGAAGCAGTTGGCACATGCACGGGTACATTAGCACAATGCAGTTGGCCTTGACACAATGCACTTGGCACATTGGCGCAATGCACTTGGCACTGACGCAATGCACCTGGAACAACGCACTTGGCACAGAGCACCTGCGCAATGCACTTGGCACTATGGCACAATGCCTTTCGGCGCAATGCACTTGGACTTGGCACGCACATGGCACAATGCACCTGACACAGGCACGTGCACACGAGCGCAAGGCACTTTGGCACAATGCACTTGGGCGCAATGCACTTGGAAGTGCATTAGCGCAATGCACTTGGCACATGGAACAATGCACTTAGCACAATGCACTTGGCACAGTGCACTTAGCACAACGGACTTGGCGCAATGGACTTGGCGCAACACACTTGGCACAACAATGCGGCTCGCACATGCACTGGCACATTGCCACAACGCACGTGACCTTGACGCAATGCACTTGGCCCAGTGGCACACAAGCGCAATGCGCTTGGCATTGATGGCACAGCGGACGTGACGCAATGCACTTGGCACTATAATGCAGTTGGCGCACGCACGAGTACATGAGCACAATGCACTTCAACGCACGTGACCTTGACGCAATGCACTTGGCCCAGTGGCACACAAGCGCAATGCACTTGGCATTGATTGCATAACGGACTTGACGCAATGCACTTGGCACTATAATGCAGTTGGCACACACACACACACGAGTACATTAGCACAATGCGCTTGGCCGTGACACAATGCACGTGGCACATTGGCACAATGCACTTGACACATGGAACAATGCACTTGGCGTAATGCACCTCAATGCACTTGGCACAGAGGACTTGGCACACTTGACGCAAAGCACCCGGCCAGGGCCAGCAGGGCCAGGGCCAGGGCCAGGGCCAGGGCCAGGGCCAGGGCCAGGGCCATGGCCAGGGCCAGGGCCAGGGCCAGGGCCAGGGCCAGGGCGGGCCAAGACCAGGGCCAGGGCCAGGGCCAGGGCCACCACCAGCGCCAGGCCAGGGCCAGGGCCAGGGCCAGGGCCAGAGCCAGGGCCAGGGCCAGGGCCAGGGCCAGGGCCAGGGCCAGATCCAGGGCCAGGGCCAGGGCCGGGTCAGGGCCGCTGTTAAAAAGGATCCACCGGCTAGGCTTTAGGGTAATACAATATACTCAGTGACCAAGCTAGGCGACTTTAGCTTGGCGACCCCTCAGAGGTGAGCCTGGCAGGCTCTGCAGCCCAGCAGAGCCTGCCAAGGTCTCGCTGATCGCTCGACAGCGCCCACCTACCTACAGAAGGAGAGGGGTGGTGGGCGGGTTTAGGGTTTAGGGTTTAGGGTTTAGGGTTTAGGGTTTAGGGTTTAGGGTTTAGGGTTTAGGGTTTAGGGTTTAGGGTTTAGGGTTTAGGGTTCAGTGGCTTTGTGATTCAGGGTTTCTCAACACAGGGGGGTTTAGGGCCGCCAGGAACAGGGGCTTTAGGGCTTCAGGGTTTCAGTTGTAAACTTCAGGGAAAGGGATGGGGGAACTTAATGAGTTGCGCACAGTGACCCAAACAAGGCTTGCTTCAAGAGGATTACGATCAAGATGCATCCCGGATCTCGAATCCCAAACGAGCAGTACCCCAGCAACGCCCCCACCCCCCGCCACAAAATAGAAGGCCCTTAGCCATAGAAAGGCCCTTAGCCCAAACCCCAAGGGTCTGGGCCAAAAGGGGCTTGGAGTGTTGGATCTTTAGCCGCACGTCTGGGTTTAGGGTTTGGGGCTTCGAGTTTAGGAAGTGCACCCAAAACCCTAAACCCTAAACCCTAAAAACTATATCCGAAAACCCTAAACCCTAAACCCCAAACCTTGGCACCCTGTGTCTCCCTGGAAAGCCCTTGGGCTCTTGAAGGCGGCCGAGGGACTTCAGCATCTCTCTCTGGCGGACCCCTGTGCCGGAAGGGTCTACTTGAAACATCTTCCAGCGTGCTAAGCTGACGTCTTGCTCAACAACATACTTGTTAATAACGGCACTTCGACTTGCATGGTTCGGTGTCTACATATACATATGCGTGTCTGAAATTGTGCATTTATATTGCTGTTTATTCCTATAGACTAGGTGGTCAAGAACATGCATAGCAAACACGCAAAAAGATCGGCTTTTCTTTGAACGCAAGCTTCGCAAAGTTTCCTCGTAGCACTGGAAACCCCCTGGAATGACGATTGCATTTCCCTCTGAGGTCCTCCATTTGAAATACTTGTGCTTACCCTACCAGAGTTCCCAACTGCAAGCCCCAAGCCCTACCCCCCTCAACCCTCAAGCCTATGAGGAGGTGTGTGCGGGGCCTCCGGCTTCTTAGGGGGCTTTGGGTTGAAACCCTAAACCCTAAACCCTAAACCCTAAACCCTAAACCCTAAACCCTAAACCCTAACCCTAAACCCTAAACCCTAAACCCTAAACCCTAAACCCTAAACCCTAAACCCTAAACCCTAAACCCTAAACCCTAAACCCTAAACTCGATCTGAATCTAAGCTTCTAAACTAAGCCACAGTCCAGGCTTCGGCTTCCCGAAAGGGGAGCAGGCCGGGCTTGGCAAAGCGGAAACCAGGTCCTTGAACCCTGACACGAAACCCTGAATCCTGAACCCGGAACCCGGAACCCTAAAACCTAAAACCCTAAACCCTAACCCTAAAACCCCGAAACCATGAAACCCTGCAACCCTACAACCCTAAAATCCTAAGACCCTAAGACCCCTAAGACCCTACAACCCGCTCGGCTGCGCCTTCGTCGTAGCCGTCCCAGACCTGGAGGTCCTGGGCGTCCTCCGAGGTGTGAGGGGCTGGACAGGGTTCAGGGGTTCGGGGGGTTTCAGGGTTTAGGGTTTCAGGGTTCAGGGGTTTAGGGTTCAGGGTTGAGGGTTTCGGTCTAAGGGAATTTTGGCTGGGGATGGAGCCAGGTACAGGGATTGATGTCCAGGTTGATGTAGGTTTCGGGGATGTGCGTGGGCCTCACATGTCGTCGTCAGGCCGTGTATCGTGAAAATCTGACGTGAGCAAATTCGCCCACGTCAGCCTTGCCCACCTCCCACAAGGAACTCGTGCTGTTTGTCATCATGTCACGGAACGCTTGCCAGTCTTAAAGGAATTCGATATTTTCACACAAGCATCGTGATTTGAATCCAATCACTCAAAAACAGTTGTTGGTTAGACTTCGCCACCCCTACAAGAGGAAATCCAAGAAGCTCACAGAGGTCCTGTTGGCAGAGGCAAGTACAATCTGTGAGGCTTTTAGGTTTAGGCTTTAGGGTCTAAGGTTTAGGGTTTGGGGTTTAGGGTTTAGGGTTTAGGGTTTAGGGTTTAAGGTTTAGGGTTTGGGGTTTAGGGTTTAGAGTCTGAAGGGTGCGGACTCCACCCTTAGCTTCGAAGCCCCGAGAGCCCAAAAACCACCCGAACCCCATCTGCAACTCAAAACTCTTAGATTCCAAAGCGTCAGCCCCAACCCCTAAGCGCAACACAATAGACCCTGAACGTCACGAACCCTCTCAACTAAGACCCTAAATACCCCAAATGCCCTAGATCCCTAAGTCTCTACATCCCCTAAGTCCCTGGTGCTGGCCTCAGGAACCACGGCCCCCTCCGGCATCGGTTTGTCCGGCTTCTCTAAGACCTTCCGGACCTTCCCCAAAAAAGCCCGACGCCACTTAAGCATGGAGCACTGGAAGGTTCTCAAGGGTTTCTGTTTTCGAGCTGGATTCGCACTAGGTTCGTGGCGTAAAACCGTTCTCCAGGTGTGAAGCTAACAACCCACCACCCTCACCCTCCGGTAGAAGCCGCCCTCGCTCTCAAGGGCTTAGGGGTTAGGGTTGGAAGGCCAGGGCTTGCGCCCGATTAAAAAGTGCTCCAAAGTAAGGTGAAACCAAGCCACCACGGAGACCCTACTTATCCCCCTACTTATCAAGAAGGTTATGGTTGTAGGTACCCCGGGTAAGGCTGTAACCACCCACCGTAGTTACCACACTTATAACCCTACTTACGCGTACCCACGAACACTCCAAGTAGGGTTTAGCGCTACTTCATAGTACTAATAAATAATAGTAGTAATAACAACAAGAATAATAATAATACTAATAATAATAATAATAATGTAGAAATAATGATAAGAATAAGAAGAACAATAATTACTATAACAATAACTATAACAATAACTATAACGATAACAATAACAATACCAATAACAATACCAATAACAATAACAATAACAAAAACAATAACAATAACAATAACAATAACCATAACAACAAGAATAAGAACAACAACAATACTCATGGTAATAACACAAACAACCTTCATCATACAAACAAAACCCAGAATCAATAAAAAGAAGAAGAAGAATATACACAATATAGTATATTACAATATCGCAGAATGCTGTACTTAGGGTTTAGGGTTAGGGTTTAGGGTTTAGGGTTTAGGGTTTAGGGTTCAGGGTTCAGGGTTCAGGGTTTAGGGTTTAGGGTTTAGGGTTTAGGGTTTAGGGTTTAGGGTTTAGGGTTTAGGGTTTAGGGTTTAGGGTTTAGTGATCCGAGCCGCGGCTCGTCTCTACAACACTCGCCTTGCCCCTCCTCCCTCCCGATGCCTGCACGTACAGCGCTGGCGCGGCGCGGATGTCCTGTTTAGGGCTTAGGACTTAGGGCTTAGGACTTAGGGTTTAGAGTTTAGGGTTTAGAGTTTAGGGTTGAGGGTTGAGGGTTTAGAGTTCAGGGTTTCGGGTTTAGGGTTTAGGGTTTAGGGTTTAGGGTTTAGGGTTTAGGGTTTAGGGTTTATTAGGGGTTGCAGGGCTTTGGGTTTCAAGGCTTCTGGGTTTCCCTTTCGAGGGTTCAGGGCTTTGGGGTTTTAGGGTTTGGGGGCGTTAAACACAACTCTTTATCCTACATCCCAAGCCCTAAACCCTAAACCCTAAACCCTAAACCCTAAACCCTAAATCCTAAACCCTAAACCCTAAACCCTAAACCCTAAACCCTAAACCCTAAACCCTAACCCCACGCCACACGCCTCTCGCACAAAGCGCTGGAGCTCCGCAAGGTTCACCTCCCCACTCTCCAGCAGGGCGATTTGCTTGTCCTTCAGAGTCAGGGTTTAGGGTTAAAGGTTTAGGGTTTAGGGTTTAGGGTTTAGGGTTTAGGGTTTAGGGTTTAGGGTTTAGGGTTTAGGGTTTAGGGTTTAGGGTGTTTGGGGTTTCCCACCATTTCGTACCAGATAGGACCCGATGAGGAATCTGACGACTGGGGCATGACATTCAGAAAACGTCGTACAGCCAAATAGGATGGCTTGAGAGCTTACGGTTTAGAATTTGGGGTTTGGGGCTTAGGGTTTAGGGTTTAGGGTTTAGGGTTTAGGGTTAAGGGTTAAGGGTTAAGGGTTAAGGGTTAAGGTTTAGGGTGTAGGGTTTAGGGTTTTGGGTTTAGGGTTTAGGGTTTAGGTTTAGGGTTTAGGGTTTAGGGTTTAGGGTTTAGGGTTGAGGGTTTAGGGTTTAGGGTTTAGGATTTAGGGTTTAGGTTTAGGGTTTAGGGTTTAGGGTTAAAGCAAAGAGAGGTCTACTTCATAACCAACTAGCGAAAAGCGCGGAAAACTTGCAGGCAAAAGAAGGGAAAGAAATGCTGCCTGAAACAAAATGAATTTCATGGGACGGTTGTGCATGTATTTTCTTCGTTCAATATTTTATCGTGGTCTTCCATACAACTGTATGATTTTATGAGCAGACCAGATGACTACAGAAAGCGCGAAAATCACCCATGAACAGTATGGAGTATGGGGATCTTCAGGTAGCTATTTGGGGTTAGGCTCCTTCACATGTACCTTACTACATCATTCGGGTGAAGTCCCCCAAAACAAGAGAGTGCCATTTTCCACTCCTGAGCCACTTGCGGATCCAATATAGGTGCCTGAATCATTTGAATAGAGCTTTGGGGGTTATTCTGGCACAATTATATAGATTATATAGGACCACAAGGGAGTACTCCTAGTAATTTATCCGACCCCTGTGGCACTTCTCTGTGGGGGGGGGGGGGGGTGGCGGATTGCGCCTTCCGATCGAAGTCGTAGGTGCGCTTGACGAAGGGTGTGTGAAACCGGGAGAACCTGAAAGACTTACGGGTTCTTAGTAGGTAAGGAGGGCAGGAGGGAATTAGGTACCCCCACAGAATCCCAAAGGGTAACCCTAAACCCTAACAAACCCTGAACCCTAAAACCAAAGCCCTTTAAGGATTCTACAGAACTTCATTCTCTCTCCTCTCATTCCCTACTAAGAACCAGGGAGAAAGATTCAACTTTCAGGGCCCCAGGCGTCGGAGGGCGTAGGGCCGAAGGTTCCGGGGTTTAGAGTGGGGCGCCTTCAGGCTTTCGTGGCTTTAGGGTTTCGTGCTTAGGGGTTAGAGTTAATAGGGCTCATGGGGTTAATGGGGTTAGTAGGGTTCATAGGGTAATAGGGTTAATAGGGTTAATAGGGTTTATAGGGTCAATAGGGTTGATAGGGTTAATAGGGTTAATAGGGTTAATGGGGTTAATGGGGTTAATAGGGTGAATAGGGTTAATAGGGTTAATAGGGCTAATAGGGTTAATAGGGTTAGCAGGGTTTAGGGTTTAAGTTGTAGGGGTTCTGCCCACTGCGCAGGGGCTGAAGATTGAATGGCACACGGCACACCCCCAATCACGCAGGAGCCGTGTTGCAGGCGGTCACAGAAATGATGCTGGTTTGAGGTTTCGGGTTTAGGGTTCAGGGTTTAAGGCGACTGTAATTCCACATTCCCGCTTGCTGTGAACTTGACAGGCCACATCATGTCCCCGATTTCCCACAACGAGACAAGCCCTTGAGACCACACGAGGGCAACGACCTTTGGAGACCCTGAAGTCTGGAAGGCTTCTAATAGCAGGGTCGAGGGCTCAGGGATATAAAATGAATGAAAGTACCCCATGACGCTCGCTACCCTGCCAATTCCAGCTATAACGTCCTTGGAGGCTTGGGGTCACTGGAATTTCCAAAACCTTTCTGTGGAGGCTAGCAGCTGGGTGGGAGTTGGGTGCAGGCTGTCTGAAAATTTTCGGCGGGTGGGGTTTGGGGCGTCAGGGTTAGGGCTTAGAATTTAGAGTTGAGGGGGGCGGCTCACATCCGGGAAGTTCGACCCAAATTCCCGAACCCTTGCGGATTAGGGTTTAGGGTGAATTGAGGGCTCAACCCAAAACTCTCACCCTGAACCCCCAAAAACACTCCCCCAACCTCCCCAAACCTCCCCAAACCTCCCCAAACCTCCCCAAACCTCCCCAAACCACCCCAATCCCCAAACCACCCCAAACCTCCCCAAACCTCCCCGAACCTCCCCAAACCACCCCAAGCCACCCCAAACCACCCCAAACCACCCCAAAACACCTAAACCCTGAACCCTTACATATGACCCAACACATCCAAACCTTCCCGTCTGGGCCGATGGCTCTTCTGAGAGGTTCTTCGGCTTCATCTTCAGCTCCGAGAGCACCTGGGGGGGGGTTTAGGGTTTAGGGTTTAGGGTTTAGGGTTTAGGGTTTAGGGTTTAGGGTTTAGGGTTTAGGGTTTAGGGTTTAGGGTTTAGGGTTTATGGTTTAGTGTTTAGGGTTTAGGGTTTAGGGTTTAGGGTTTAGGGTTTAGGGTTTAGGGTTTAGGGTTTAGGGTTTAGGGTTTAGGGTTTAGGGTTTAGGGGTTAGGGTGGGGGGGGTTTAAGGCTGAAGGATATTTCGGGCTTGGAGTTCTTGTTGTAAGGGGTTTAGGGTTTCGGGTTTGGGGTTTAGGGTTTATGTAGGGTTTGGGGTTTAGGGTTTAGGGTTTAGGGTTTGGGGTTTCGGGTTTTGGGTTTTGGGGTTTAGGGTTTAGGGTTTAGGGTTTAGGGTTTAGGGTTTAGGCTTATACCTAATGGTTTCGGGTTTAGGGTTGAGGGGTTAGCGGTTAGCGTATAGCGACCTAACTTATTGTAACCCCCACCCCAAACCGGTAAACTAGAAAGGGCCACGCAACACCCCCAAAAGCCGAAGAACTGGGTTTCGGTTTTACGTAAACCCTAGACCTTAAACCCTAAACCCTAAACCCTACATCCTAAACCCTAAACCTTAAACCCTAAACCCTAAACCCCTAAACCCCTAAACCCCTAAACCCCTAAACCCCTAAACCCCTAAACCCCTAAGCCCCTAAACCCCTAAACCCCTAAACCCCTAAACCCCTAAACCCCTAAACCCCTAAACCCCTAAACCCCTAAACCCTAAAGCGCCGAGGCAAGGACGCCACGCAGGCAAGTCTGAAACTCCTCCTCCTGCACGCCGTCCTGGCCCAAAGAAGACTTAGGGCCCGGCTTTGGGGTTTAGGGTTTAGGGTTTAGGGTTTAGGGTTTAGGGTTTAGGGTTTAGGGTTTAGGGTTTAGGGTTTAGGGTTTAGGGTTTAGGGTTTAGGGTTTAGGGTTTAGGGTTTAGGGTTTAGGGTTTTGAGCTTACGGTTTAGGGTTAGGGAAACCAATGTTCCCAAATATACCCTGGCACTCTCTTACAGGAATTAGGGTTTAGGGTTAGGGGGTTAGGGTTTGGGGCTTAGGGGTTCTGAGGGCTCTAGAAGCCTGATGTTCAGGGGCTGGGTCTTGGCAGCTATTGGGATACTGCTGCCTAAACCCCAGCCGCGGGCGCTTGTTGCAACTAAACCCTAAACCCTAAACCCTAAACCCTAAACCCTAAACCCTAAACCCTAAACCCTGAACCCTGAACCCTGAACCCTGAACCCTGAACCCTGAACCCTGAACTCGAAACCGCGCCGCGGCCTCCAGCCAGGCAAAGTGCTCCGTGAAGAAGGCATCGATTCGGCTCCGCACCTTAGTAGCCCAGTAACCATCTTATAATCGGGGCACCTTTTTTTGGGGTTGGCTATTTTATAAGGGAAACCAGAACCCCAAAAAAAAAGGGTAAAGGGTACCACTGGAGCTACCAAGGCACAAAGTCGGGGCCAAACTCGCTCTGCACCTGTGCAGCTGCGCTTTCGGCGTCTTTGGGGGTGTTGTCCGCGCACTCCTACAGTTGGCGCCCCCAGCCCTAAACCGAACTTCGGTCCTCAAGCCCACAATTCCTGACTCACCATGTTTGCACAAGGACGGAGAAGGGCAGCTTCAGCATGTTCAGTCGCAGGGTTTTGGTTTCAGGTTCAGGGGGAGAATCCACAAACAGTGCTTGCACTATGGGGAAACATGCTCTGGAAATTTCCGCGGTTGCATGGGGCCCGACGCGCTCTGGCTCCAGTCCTGTCACCCGTGCGAACTCTTCGTTTGGCGTGCTTCCACATGCTGACGGTTTGAAGCTGGCATAAGGCAGGGGAACGCTTCAGGCAAACATCACCGACCTACAAAGCCCCTCCAACCCAAACTCCTCCGACACAAAGAAGCCCTGAAACCCCAAACCCTAAACCAAAAAACCTAAACGATTCTTCAAAACAATTCAAAACCCCATAATCCCTAAAAACCTTGACAACCCAAAAGCTCTTCACAAGAATGCTAATATTACAAAAGACAAAAGTATGAAAATAAACATGCGAACCATAAATCCAAATAAACCTAGACATCACCAGAAAAAACTATAGCGCTCACAAACGAATCAGAGAGCATTAAACAAAACCTAAAACCGCAGCAAATCTTTAGTACGAGTAATACAGCAAAAACTTAAAACATCCTAAGAGCCGTTCAAAGAAAAAACACACACTGAAAACAGGCACTCCTCAAAAAACCTAAGAATACCCAAGCACACTAAAAGAAAATCCTAAACGCGCGCCCGCCTCAGGTGAACCCAGTCCCTGGTTCCCTACTCAAAAGCCCAATATGCTGCCCCTTAAGCCCAAAACCCCAAACCCCAGACCCTGAACCCTGAACCCTGAACCCTAAACCCGAAAACCCTAAACCCGAAACCCTAAACCCTAAACCCTAAACCCTAAACCCGAAACCCTAAACCCTAAACCCTAAATCGTGCCTCTCTCAACTCCCAGAGGCCCCTCCACTCCCGCAGCTCTCGGCGCGCCTGGGCGGTGATGTAGCTGAAGTTAACTCCCGGCACCGTGCCCATGCCTGGCCGGCAAGAAGGTTGAGGGTTTAGGGTTTAGGGTTTAGGGTTTAGGGTTTAGGGTTTAGGGTTTAGGGTTTAGGGTTTAGGGTTTAGGGTTTAGGGTTTAGGGTTTAGGGTTTAGGGTTTAGGGTTTAGGGTTTAGGGTTTAGGGTTTAGGGTTTAAGGCTTCAGGGTTTGTGAGTTTGAGGGTCTTGGGGTTTAAGGGTTCCCCCTTACACCCTGAACCCTTAAACCCTAAACCCTCAGCCCTAAACCCGAAACCCTCAGCCCTTTGCAGCTTCTAGTGGCTGGGCTACGCCCTGCAGCCCTGCAAATGGTGTTGAGAAAGCCTGATCAGCGCTGAAATCAGGGCCGAGTTCTCAATGGGTCGCGAGCCTGTCACCCTGTAAACCCTAAACCCTAAACCCTAAACCCCTAACCCTAGAACCCTTAGTAGGAATTCAGTGCATCGGCTCTTGCCACATGAAGGAATATCAAAGCACGGCGAGGCCACCCACGATGTAGCCCAGCTGCTGCTGTGTCCTGACAGCAGCAGCACAGGAGACGAAAGGCCCTCCACTTGGGATGTTCCCCCTTGTTCCGAACAGTCCTTAAGAGGGATTCTAGTAGGGGGTACGATAATCCCTATTAAGGACTGTTAGTATGAGGGGGAACATCTCAATCCTCAACACTCAACACTCAACCCTCAACTCCAAAACTGCCCTCAGGGCGGTCTCAGCCCTAAACCCTAAACCCTAAACCCTAAACCCTAAACCCTAAACCCTAAACCCTAAACCCTAAATGTGTGAAAGCCATGGACTCTTCGAGCCCAAGAACATTCCCGAACTGAGAGCAGCCATTGCCCTGAGATCCCGAAAGCGCCCTGGGACAAAAAAGCAACAAACAAAACCCTAAACCTACCTGAAACCCTAAACCCTAAACCCTAAACCTACCTGAAACCCTAAACCCTAAACCCTAAACCCTAAACCTACCTGAAACCCTAAACCCTAAACCCTAAACCCTAAACCTACCTGAAACCCTAAACCCTAAACCCTGAAACCCTGAAACCCTGAAACCCTAAACCCTAAACCCTGAACCCCCCAGAGGGCCAATGGGGAAGAACCCCAGCATCCGGTCCGCAAGACGTCGAAGAACTTCGAGCTCAGAAGCTTTCCGACCATCCTCGGCAGGGGGGGGGGGGTTGAATGCCCGCAGCCCGAAAGCCAAAACTTTTCAGGTTCGATGAGGGAAGCCAACATGTGGTGGACTCGCATCTTCTCTGCCCGCGCTTGCTACAGCCTTCAGTGGGGGAGAGGGAGGGATCTTGGTATGTAAGAAAGCATCGATAAAGGAAGCATAAAACTCTGAACCTGCACCTGAAACTTTACACCCAAACCCTCCCATGGATCAGGGGGCTACAGCCTACAAAACCCAGGTAAGTGGTGGGTTTGGGTTTAGACCCCTTTACAGTTTAGGGTCTAGGGCTTTCAGTCGGCACCAGGTCACAGATTCAGCCCCCCAAAGCCCTAAGCCCTAAACCCTAAACCCTAAACCCTAAACCCTAAACCCTAAACCCTAAACCTAAACCCTAAACCCTAAACCCTAAACCCTAAACCCTAAACCCTAAACCCTAAACCCTAAACCCTAAACCCTAAACCCCAACCCTAAACCCAACAACCCTAAAGTCCAAGAGTAACACTACGAGGACATCATCGCTTCGCCCAGGCACAGCAGCCGCACCGAGACCTCCACGCCTCAGCGGTGTCAAGTTTAGGGTTTAGGGTTTAAGGTTTAGGGTTTAGGGTTTAGGGTTTAGGGTTTAGGGTTTAGAGTTTAGGGTCTAGGGTTTAGGGTTTAGGGCTTAGGGTTTAGGGATTAGGGTTTAGGGTTGAGGGTTTAGGGGGAGTTTAGGGTTTAGGTTTAGGGTTTAGGGTTTAGGGTTTAGGGTTTAGGGTTTAGGGTTTAGGGTTTAAGGTTTAGGGTTTAGGGTTTAGGGTTTAGGGTTTAGGGTTTAGGGTTTAAGGTTGGGGGTTTTAAGGTTCCGGGGTTTAGGGTTTGGGCTTGGGGTCTTGCATTCGTCTGAACAATACAGAATGTTTTGGAAATCGAGTCATTGTTGCTGTAGGGAAGGCCACTTGCTTATCGAAGGTATTCGAGTTTAGCACTGGGTTCCGAGTAACAGCCTTCGAGAGCAACAAACTTTCTGAACCTCACATTCGATGGCTCCGCGGGAAAGGGATTCTCTCGCCCGAAGGGCCTTCATCACCGAAGATTTGTGGGGTGCAGAATCGTTCTGCATCGCCATGTTTCTAATATTATCTGGTTTAAGGCTTCCACTGGCGCAGTGATTTCGCCGAGGGGGAAGGGGGAACGTGCTCAGCCGCCTTGAAGTGGTTTAGAATGGGAATTGCGCTGCGGAGCTTGCCATGGCATCGCTGAAAGCTCCACAACGCCCCGCCTGCCCCAACGGAGGTAACAGGGCTGGCTGTACCCTAAACCCTGAACCCTAAACCCTAAACCCTAAACCCTAAACCCTAAACCCAGTTACAAGTAGGGGTTTCTGGGTATCCTGCAAAAGGGTTTCAAGTATGTAGTTCGTATTCGTGAGCCTTCAAGCGGAGGGCTCCCATGGCTCCGATGGCTCCAACGTGGTACCTGCTAAGAACTTGTTCAGTGAAGTACAGTGATTCAATGTCCCACTTGGAGAACTACCCTAAACCCTAAACCCTAAACCCTAAACCCTAAACCCTAAACCCTAAACCCTAAACCCGAAACCCTCTTCAGGTAAGGGATGGGGATCGCGGCGACGGCTAGTGGGAACGAGGGGTTTGGCCGCAGGATTCCTAAACACTTAACCTCTTAGGCACAAGGAACCCTAAAGCCGAAACCCTGGGGTTTAAGGCCCGGGGCTTGCAAAGGGTCACAAGCTTAAGGTCTAGGTCAAGGGGTTTTAGGGTTTAGGGTCAAGCCCTGCAAGCCAGGGTGCTCTTGGGGAACTGCCACTTGAGGATCACGGCATGGTTGGGGTCGTCCTGCACATTCGGGCTGCATTTTCCGGTGCCCCGAACCCCTCGAACCCAAAACCCCATTTGTCCACCCGAAATCATATAACTTCTCAAGCCCGAGCACCTACACCCTGAACCCTGAACCCTGAACCCTAAACCCTAAACCCTAAACCCTAAACCCTAAACCCTAAACCCTAAACCCTAAACCCTAAGCCCTGAACCGGAAAAAAACCGAAGCTCTAAGGGCAGAAGGGTGGGTCCCAGTCCTTGTCCGTGCTGTCCAGCCTCCACAGCCTCGGCAGAACGGTTAAGCTTGCAGGGTGTAGGGTTTAGGGTTTAAGGTTTAGGGTCTAGCGTTTAGGGTTTAGGGTTTAGAGTCAAGGGTTGAGGCACATTACCCCCACATCTCGAACATTCTAAGATTCCCGAAGCCCTAAATGCCTCGATCCCCACACCTGCCAACAACCTCCTTAAGACTGAACTTGGTTGCTCTTTCACTCCCCAATGAAAGTTTAACTTTTGGCTTCTAAATATGAAATTAGAGGAACCCCAAACTTAAACAGTGATAATGTTGCAATAAAATCCCGCCTAGTGAATGTGTGGGGGCTTAAGGAAACTTACGCCTTGTTAGGATTTCGGGGTTTAGAGCGGGTTTGGGACGGCAGCATGCAGTCAAGAGAGTGGCTTAGGATCAAGTGTGTTGGCTAGAGATAAGGCACTTCGGTCATGAGAGCTTTCTCGGGGTCTTAGAAAGATCTGGACCCCCCACGCTAACTTTTGAACCCCAAACCTCAAAACCCCTGACCAGCGAGGCCTGGCTGCACGGCTTGACACAGAGCCTAACCCCTCAACCCTGTACACCCTCAACCTTACACCGTGCACCCTAAACCCTAAACCCGACACCCTAAACTCTACACTCCGAACGGTTGAGGGCTGGGGTTGCAGCGTTGCCTGAACCCAGGCTGGAAAGGCATCGCGTGGTTCGCGGAGTCTCTAGAGATCTGACGATGAGGAAATGGCCCAGCACGGACGGAACGAAACGACTTGTTTGGGAAGTGCTTAGGCCTTAGGGCTCAGAATTGGGAAAATCAGGGTGGAGTGTTTAGAGTTTAGAGGGCTCTTGCGGCTCTAGGATTCTCGGATACGTTCTGGCTGCTTTCCAAAGCCCTCCCCCGAGACCCATGGAAAAAGCTGCCTGTGTCCCCTAGGTGAAAACAGAATCCTAGGCTCATTTGGCTCTTCCTGAAGCTCAGAATGCAGCATGCGCCACTTTGGTTACCATACTTGAAACCCACCCCTCCCCCCCCCCCAGACACCGCACGCCGACCTCCACATGGACGTAACTCCAGAGCCACAAGCATGCCCCCGGGCCCTAAAGAGGAAATGCAGCTCCCCAACTCAAACACTTCGATGCATGCTGGGTCCTTGTAGAAAAGAGGTAAGGCAAGGCCTGTAACCTGAGGAAAAACCGGCGAGGTGGGAGCCTAGGGCTGCAGGATCCAGATGTAGCTACCTGAAATGTGTGGTCCAGCCCCGTGACATCAGACTTCCATTTTCCTCTCATTTGCAAGACTGCAGCAGCCCATGCAGGTACAAGTTTGAATCTCGTAGCTCCAGATTGTAGTAGGCAAATTGTCGCAGGGGAACAAGCAGCATGTCTTGCGCTCCTTTGATCCCAGCTCTCTGCAGTTTCGGGGGTAGTTTTTCGTTGTTGAGGCTGACCTAGATGGGGACTCTGGGGTCACGGATGTGAGATTGGAAAACCCCAAACCCTGAACCCTAAACCCTAAACCCTAAACCCCAAACCCTGAACCCTGAACCCTAAACCCTAAACCCTAAACCCTAAACCCTAAACCCTAAACCCTAAACCCTAAACCCTAAACCCTAAACCCTAAACCCTAAACCCTAAACCACAGCCCGCACTTCGCCACCAAGGCACGTGCGCCCGGCGGGTAGCTGCGCCTCCTCGAAGAGGGGCAGCTCCTTGAGTGGGCCTGGAGGCGAAAGGAGGTTGGGGTTTACGGTTTAGGGTTTAGGGGTTAGGATTTAGGGTTTAGGGTTTAGGGTTTAGGGTTTAGGGTTTAGGGTTTAGGGTTTAGGGTTTAGGGTTTAGGGTTTAGGGTTTAGGGTTTAGGGTTTAGGGTTCAGCATCTCAAGTCCAAGCTTTCACTAGTCAAGCTCGCTACTCTGGTACTGAAAATCTACCCACCCACCCTTTGGACCCCATAACAGTAGGAAAACATTTTAGTTTCAATTTCTTTTAATTAGGCCCCAAACGCACCATTAAGCAAAACCGTCGTACGTGGTCAAACCCTCCCTCCTCACCCTCCTGAGGCCTGGAACCCTAAATCAACCCTAAACGCTAATCTTTGAAACCCTCAACACAGGCCCGAAGCCCCTAAGCGCTGGGCCCGCCGTGCCCTGAAACCCTAAACCCCAGGCCTTGAGGCCCTGGAACCCTAAAAAGGCCTTGAGGCCTTGAAACCCTAAACGCTGGACCCTGAAACCTTAAGAGCAGGCCCTGAGGCCTTGAAACCCTAAACGTTGGCCTAAACACAGGCCCTGAGGCCTTGAAACCCTAAGCGCTGGGCCCTGAAACCCTAAACACAGGCCTTGAGGCCTTGAAACCTAATTCGGGCCCCGAAACCCGAAAAACAGGCCCTGAGGCCTTGAAACCCTAAACGCTGGACCCAAAACACAAGCCCTGAGGCCTTGAAAGCCTAAACGCTGGTCCCTGAAACCCTAAACACAGGCCCTGACGCCTTGAAACCCTAAACGCTGGGAACTGAGCCTTGAGGCCTTGAAACCCTAAACGTGGGCCCTGAAGGCCCTGCGCTTTGAAACCCTAAACGCTGGGCCCTGAAGCCTTGAAACCCTAAACGCTGGGCCCTGAAACCCCTTGGAAACCCTGAACCCTGCGCCCTGAAACCCTAAACACAGGCCCTGAGGCCCTGAGGCCTTGAAACCCTAACACTGGGCCCTGAAACCCTAAACACAAGCCCTGAGAGCTTGAAACCCTAAACGCTGGGCCCTGAAACCCTAAACACAGGCCCTGAAGGGGGGGGGGGGATTTTACAATTGCCGGCCAAGTGTTAACAATTGCCGGCCAAGTTTTTGACAATTGCCGGCCAAGTTTTGACAATTGCCGGCCAAGTTTTGACAATTGCCGGCCAAGTTTTGACGATTGCCGGCCAAGTTTTGACAATTGCCGGCCAAGTTTCGACAATTGCCGGCCAACTTTCGACAGTTCCGGCCCGTGAAATTGTCAAAAAGTTGGCCGGCAATTGTCAAAAGTTGGCCGGCAATTGTCAAAAAGTTGGCCGGCAATTGCAAAAAACAGTTGCCGGCCAACTGTTGACAATACCCGGCCAACTTTTGACAATTGCCGGCCAACTTTTTGACAATTGCCGGCCAAGCCATTAGGGTTTATATACATATGAAAGAGAGGTTTAGGGTTTAGGGTTTAAGGTTTAGGGTTTAGGGTTTAGGGTTTAGAGTTTAGAGTTTAGGGCTTAGGGCTTAGGGCTTATGGTTAGGACTTACTTTCCCGGGCATTCTCATCATTGTCATTGTCAGCACTTTGAGGTTTACGAGGTTGACGATTCTGATTCTGATGCCAGATCTTAACAGGTCTGGGTCAGGCCTCCATCCATCATCTCACTAGGGGGTTTAACGTTCTTCTTCGCCAGAAAGCCCGTGCTCTTTTCCCTAAACCCTAAACCCTAAACCCTAAACCCTAAACCCTAAACCCTGAACCCTGGGCAGATACTGTGGCTTCCGGCATTTCAGCCCGAGGCTGCCCTCCAGCTTCCCAACCAAGTCCAGGGCGTCCTGGCCAATTTTGCAGAAGGCGTACTGGTTACTTAAAGGTAGGGTTTAGGGTTGAGGGTTGAGGGTTGAGGGTTGAGGGTTGAGGGTTGAGGGTTGAGGGTTGAGGGTTGAGGGTTGAGGGTTGAGGGTTGAGGGTTGAGGGTTGAGGGTTTTGGGTTCATGGGTACTGATGAGTAGGGTTAGAAGTAGGGTAGCACTGCTTCTCTCCTTATTTAGGTACTTAGAAACCTGCTTCTGAATGCCCATGAGCCTCCAGTCGGGCTTGAAGAGTGTGAAGTGCGCGGTCGAAGGCTTTAGGGTTTGGGGGGTTGGGGGTTTAGGCGTTGGGAGCTTGGGACTGGCCCTTAACCCTGAACCTGACCTTTGCTCTCTACGATCCATGGCTCTCTTGCACGTGAAAAGTCCTTAAACCATAAACCCTCAACCCTAAACCCTAAACCCTAAACCCTAAACCCTAAACTTTGAAGATTTTGGGGCCTAGGTTGGGTGTCTACCTCAGAGATTGGGGGTTAAGGCCTAGGGTTACAAAAGGCTTAGGACTCCTTTCAGAAAATATGCTTTGAGGAGGGGCTTGGCGTTCTCCAACTTCGGCCTTTCGGCCATAGCCCCTCAACCGCCTGAAGGCGAAACTATCTAGGGTTTAGGGTTTAGGGTTTCGGGTTTTGGGTTTTGGGCTTAGGGCTTAGGGCTTAGGGTTTAGGGTTTAGGGCTTAGGGTTTAGGGTTTAGGGTTTAGGGTTTAGGGTTAACTCTCCTAAACCTCCCCTGGAAGCAAAACCCTGGATGCAAAAAAAACCCAAACCCCTTGAAGCCCTGTCAACCCTTTAACCCCCCCCCCCCCCCCACGCCCCCGCCCCCTTGCAACCCTACACCGTTTAGACCCCCCAAAAGCCCTCCATGCTCCAAACCCTTTGAACCATAAACCCCCTTGAACCACTAAAAAAAACCCTCTAAAGCCCCAAACCCTTGGAACTCTAAACCCATTGAACCCGAAAAACACCCTCGAATCCCTAGACCCCTTGAACCCTACAAAACCCTGTAAAGCCCCAAGGCCCTGGTTCTTAGTAGGGAACACAAAAATGAGGGCCCGAAAGCCCTAAAGCCCTCAACCCCAAACCCCAAACCCTAAACCCCAAACCCCAAACCCTAACCCTAAACCCTAAACCCTAAACCCTAAACCGCAATCCCCTCATTCCCAACTCATAACCAGCCAGCCCCAAGGCCATTCCTTCGGTGTCTGGTTGCCCATGATCAAAGCCTAGGCCCGGCTCGGTCTGCTGAGGGCTTTTCGGAGTTCTCAAACCTTTTCGGGTTTAGGGTTTAGGGTTTCGGGTTTAGGGCTTAGGGCTTAGGGCTTAGGGTTTAGGGTTTAGGGTTTAGGGTTGAGGGTTTCGGGTTTCGGGTTTCGGGTTTCGGGTTTAGGGTTTAGGGTTTAGGGTTTAGGGTTTAGGGTTTAGGGTTTAGGGTTTAGGGTTTAGGGTTTAGGGTTTAGGGTTTAGGGTTTAGGGTTTAGGGTTTAGGGTTTAGGGGTTAGGTTTTAGGGTTTAGGGTTTAGGGTTTAGGGTTTAGGGTTTAGGGTTTAGGGTTTAGGGTTTAGGGTTTAGGGTTTAGGGTTTAGGGTTTAGGGTTTAGGGTTTAGGGTTTAGGGTTTAGGGCGTCAAAGGGATTTGCAAGGGATGTCAAGGTATCGGGGAGGTTTGCGGGGATTTCGGGTGCCAAGGGATCCCTGAGCCCAACTCTCCCCTTCCCTGAGCACCCTTAAATCCCCGGTAAATTCTCTTTCTGGATCTGTCTCCCCTTGAATCCCCGTAGCTGCCCCAAATTCCCAATTCCTACATTCCTAAATTCCTAAACCCTGAAAACCCTAAACACACCCCAAACCCTAAAAACCCGAAACCCCAAAACACCCTAAAGCCTAAAAACCCCTAAACCCACCCACATCCCCCCTTCAAGCTCCCCCCTGGGGCCACACCTTAAAAACCCTAAACCCACCCACATCCCCCCTTCAAGCTCCCCCCTGGGGCCACACCTTAAAAACCCTAAACCCACCCACATCCTTCAAGCTCCCCCCTGGGGCCACACCTCAAAAACCCTAAACCCACCCACATCCCCCCTTGAAGCTTCCCCCTGGGAACCACACCTCGGCATGGCAGGTGCCGAACATCTCCGACACGAGGTTGCAGATCGACTCACGTGTGATGTTGGCTTCCTTGGCTTCAGGAAAGTTCGCAAACCCTAAACCCTAAACCCTAAACCCTAAACCCTAAACCCTAAACCCTAAACCCTAAACCCTAAACCCTAACAATGGCCCGGCCTTCCTTCCGGCGGAGGGTCGAGTCTAGGCCCGGAACCTCGAACCCTCACAAAGACGCCCGTAAACCGGAAGCCCCAAAACGAAACTCCCCAAAGTCCCTAAAGTCCCTAAAGTCCCTAAAGTCCCTGAAGTCCCTGAAGCCCCTGAAGTCCCTAAAGTCCCTGAAGTCCCTAAAGTCCCTAAAGTCCCTGAAGTCCCGAAACCCTTAACCCTAAATTCTCTAAAGCCTAAGCCCCCAAACCCTCAACTCACTAAACCCTACACCCTAAACCTTGAAACCCCCCAAACCCTCAACTCGAAACTCCCTTAAACCCCGAAGCCTCTTGGAGAGAAAGCCCTAAACCCTAGACCCTAAACCCTAAACCCTAAACCCTAAACCCTAAACTCCCTAATCCTCATGAGACAGCCCAAGGGTCGAAGGCCGCCAACAGCTCCTGCACCAGAGCCGTTCTGCTTGTGGTTTAGGGTTTAGGGTTTAGGGTTTAGGGTTTAGGGTTTAGGGTTTAGGGTTTAGGGTTTAGGGTTTAGGGTTTAGGGTTTAGGGTTTAGGGTTTAGGGTTTAGGGTTTAGGGTTTAGGGTTTAGGGTTTAAGGATTGCGAGATTTAGGAGTTCGGATTTACAGGATTTGGGATTTAGGATTCACTTAGGATTTGGCTCTTAAGGGGGGGGGGGGGGGTTCGGTTCAAGGGGGTCATGCAACGCAAGGTTCCCTAATATTCCCTACTACCCCCCAAGGCTCCCTAAGCTTGAACCCTGTAAGACCAAGGTCCGGAGCCCAGGCTAAGGTCCCTGAGGGCAGCCTTACAAAAGCACACATGCCCACATCCCTTAGGAACCTTTAAGGGGATCTGCTTTTTCGGATCCTCCCAGGGGTCTGGGGAAGAACAAGGTTTCAGGCCGAAGAGTACCCAAATTTTGGCAAAAAAATGACCCTGCAGACCCTCAAAGCCCAAAACTCCTCAATCCCTCCAACCCCGCCTCCACAGTAAAGGAGCCACCCCGCTTTGTGAGCTCCGAAAACCTGCGAGAGGCCTTCACAAGCGCGGAGCTTCGGTTGGAGCCTAGAGCACAGCCCTAAACCCTAAACTTTTCGGGGTTTTGGAGGGTTCAAGCTTAAACCTCATACCTTAAAAACTTCTTTGCTCTGTGAGGCTGGGGGTTTCCAGGTGGTTTCCAAAGAACGACTAGATTAAGGCTCTTGAGGACATGGTCCCTCATATACCCCTTACATACCCTCGCAACCCAAGGGCCCATACTTCAGAGCCCTTTAGAGGAGGTCAGGGACCATATCTACTACTTGCTTAAGAACCCCGAAACAATAAAAACATATTCTTCCTTATTGAGGGTCATATAGGGAGTATTTTCTATTCTTTTGGTGCTCCATGTAACTACCCTCGAAAGGCCGGGACTTTCGAGGGTCAAGGGGCTTTCGGGCTGCTGAGGTGGATTTGGGGGCCAGGTGGAGGCGCTCGGGGTTCGGTTTGGGGTTTAGGGTTTAGGGTTTAGGGTTTAGGGTTTAGGGTTTAGGGTTTAAGGTTTAGGGTTTAGGGTTTAGGGTCTAGGGTTTTGGGTTTAGCGTTCAGGGTTTAGGGTTTAGGGTTTGCTGTGATAGGGCGTAGATGCTGTGAAGGTTAGGTTTTGGAACAAGCTCAAAAGCTTCGTGAAGCGCGAAGAGCAGCTTTGGCCCGATTGTGGAAGGCCTTCTAACATTCTTCTCCCACCCCACGCCGTCCGAAGCGGCAAAGCCACCCAAACCTATTCCTTTTAGGGCTTAGGCCTCAACTCAGGCCAAGTGCTTGCTTTCCATAAAACTTCTTCATTCCGTCACGGTGGTCGCCAGCCTGGTTCAGGTTCACAAAAAAAGCCACAGGCAGAAGGGCAGAAAGGCCCAGATGGGCCTGGGCAACCAGCAAAGGTGAGGGTGCAAGGAAGGCGGGCTTCCCTGGCCGGGCCCAGAGCGGTCAGGGGTCCGGGTCCTCCCGGCCTGGTTCCTTGGGGTACCCTCCGAGCTGTAGGGCGGGCAAGCGAGGGTCGACTTTCGCCATAGAGATCGAAGGGCTTAAGCGCCGCCCCCGCTCTGTAGGGGGGCGGCCTAGGCCCTGAGTTTTGGGTTTAGGGTTTAGGATTTAGGATTTGGGATTTAGGATTGAGGATTTAGGATTTAGGGTCTAGGGTTTAGGGTTTAGGGTTTACGGTTTACGGTTTAGGGTTTAGGGTTTAGGGTTTAGGGTTTAGGGTTTAGGGTTTAGGGTTTAGGGTTAAGGGTTAGGGCTTAGGGTTTAGGGTTTAGGGTTTAGGGTCTAGGGTTTAGGGTTCGGGTTCAGATATGGAGTTCAGGGAGGTGTCACACCATCACTCCGAGTACTTGCAGGTTCATGGGAACTGACTACCGTCTACCTACAACTTATCACCTGCTTAGAGGACTTAGGGGCTTATGAGAACAGCTCTTACTGGGGTTATAAGTACCCTGAATCTCCAAGCAAGGTCCTTGTGCACTGAACCTCCAAGTAAGGTCCTTGATTTTACGGAACATTGTGTTGCTTACACCCCTTTAGATACTCCCATACCCGCCCTATACACCCTGGCCGTAGTCAAACCACGCGGGGAATCTACAGCAGGATGCTGGGGGCCCAAACGGACTCAAACACCCCAAAACTCTAAACCCTAAACCCTAAGGGTTGGTTGTGAGAGAGTTTTACTAGCCCCCCCCACACCCTGTCAAAGATGTCCATGCTGGCCTGGGACAATGGCCTGCTGTGGTACGCCTTGCTGGAGGCAAGAGGACAAGGGGACTTACCGATTGCTGCGCAGGCCTGGGTTTTGGGAGGGGGCTTGAGGCTGGAGACTTTTGGGGGTTCAGGGTGCAGGTGTGTGGGCTTTGGGACAGTCTGCTGCAGCCTTGGACGTAGAGTTGCAGTTGGCTGGGGAGGGTTTAGGGAGGGCCACAGCCACAAGCCCGAGAAACACACCACGACATTCCACCTTGCACCCACTTTGTCACTTTGGGGTTTCCCTACAGGCCACGCGACTGGTCCACAAGGCTAGCTCTGAACAAACCAGCACCTCTAAACCCTAAACCCTAAACCCCCAAACCCTAAACCCTAAACCCGAAACCCTAAACCCCGAACCCTAAACCCGAAACCCGAAACCCCCAACCCCTCAACCCCAAACCCTAAACCCTAAACCCGAAACCCTAAACCCCAAACCCCAAACCCGAAACCCTAAACCCTTTTCCCCTGCCCCAGCCTGGTTCTTCAGCGCGTCCGCCATGCGGTCGGCCACAAGGTTGTAGAAGTTCTCGGGGACCGAGTCCTCAGACCCTTAGCCCTAACAGTCCGAAATTCTACAGTGTAAAAGTTATACGGTCTTATCCAACTTAATACTAAAATAGCATAATAAACCGAGTCCTCACACCCTTAGACCCTAAGCCCTCAGTCCGAAATTCTACCCGTGTAAAATTTATCCGAGCTTATCAAACTTAATGCTAGAAAAACCCTAAACCCTAAATCCTAAACCCTAAACCGTAAACCCTAAACCCTAAACCCTAAACCCTAAACCCTAAAAACCCTAAACCTAAACCCGGTGTAAGAGCTGACTCCGCCGCCGCGAGTCGATGGAGGCGGTGCCGATTTGGAGCATCTTGGCCGTGACCGCCTTCAAGAGAAAGGCGAACGAGGATTTAGGGTTTAGGGTTTAGGGTATAGGGTTTAGGGTGTTTAGGGTTTAGGGTTGTTCCGTAGCCATTTTGGCTCAAGGAGGCGTTTCGGCTTAGATTGTGTTTTCCGTAGCCTCTGCTCGTAGCAGCGCCTGCGGATCTGCAACAGCCAGACCCCAGGCAGGCCTAGCTCCTGCCGCCATACACCGGGCTTGGGTCCGGTACCACTGGTCCGCGCGGCTGGCCCGCGCTGACTATTGGGGTCGCGGGGCCCTGAATTGCTGGCACTGGTCCTGGATCAATTGCTGGCTGGTGGTTGGGTGCTGAATCCGCCACCGGGATTTTTCATCCCCCCTTCTGGGTTACGCTGCCTTTGGGCCGTCACCCTGACACCACTGCGCTTCCCTGGTTATTCGCTGTCTTTACTGGACCGACTGATCTGGGGCGCGCAGCACATGAGAGGACAGCGAGTACTCATCAAGATCCTTGGATTGGGTTGTTTGCTTTCCCTAACTTGGTCAAACCTCCAGGATCGCAACGGTGCCTCGCAGGGCACGTTCTCCCCCGTGGCATCGTCGGCTGCGGAAGAAGCGCCAAGTGGCGCGGTACCGGTTGAAGACCGGCCGTGGCAGACCGGTCGATCGACTCCGTCTTCTACGACATCACACAGACAGCGCCTTCTACGGACCACCAACACCATTTTCCTGCTGATTGCTTCTCTGCATGACACGGGAGCCTTGTGGTGGTGTGGACGTGTTTCTCAAGCGTTACGCACTGTCTTTGCCGCGGCTGATGAGCGAGTGGTGCTTCACGACGTCCGCTGGGAAGGTCGCAGCTTGGTCCTGGCCTCTTCGAGACCTGATGCTGTAGCTGCCTTCCGGTCCGAGCTGAGACGTGGCCTTCTGGCCTTCCAAGCCGGAGCTGTACAGCTGGCTGCCTTGCACCAATCGCTCTCCTCTCCCTGAGGGAGCGGTTTCTGCCCTCTTGGCCCTTTTCACCTTAGGTCGTTGATTTCGTCTTGGGCTGCAGAATCACAGCGATTCTGTTTTTGGCCCGCGCGGGTACCTGTCTGGACCCTGATGCTTCGGAAGGAAGGAAGGTTTAGGGTTGAGGGTTGAGGGTTAAGGTTTAGGGTTTGGGGTTTAGGGTTTAGGGTTTAGGGTTTAGGGTTTAGGGTTTAGGGTTTAGGCTTTAGGGTTTAGTGCTTAGGGCTTAGGGTTTGGGGTTTGGGGTTTGGGGTTCAGGGAAGCTGAAAGTTTCGGGTGTCGGGATGAGTGTTTCAAGCATTCTGGTCTGAAATTTAGGCGAGCTATGGCATGTGGAGGCTTTGGCTGGCTTGAGGGGGCGGGGGTGAGGCTTCAGGAGAGAGAGGGAGAGAGAAAACAAAAAAGAGACAGAGAGAGAGAGAGAGAAAAAAAAAAAATAATAAAAATAATAATAAAACTCAAAGAGAGAGTGAGACAAAAAAGAGGGAGAGCGACAAAAAGAAAAAAGACAGAGAGAGAGAGAGAGAGAAAAGAGAGAGAGAGAGAGGTTGCTCAAGATGACGAAACCGCCCTCTGCCACTAAATCTCAAATCCGCAAACCTTAATCCCAAGCCTGAACCCTGAAGGCCCTAACCCTAAACCCTAAACCCTAAACCCTAAATCCTAACCCTAAACCCAAAACCCTAAACCCTAAACCCTACACCCCCTCGGTCGGCGCCTCGATGAGGACCCCGAGCTTGTCATGAAAGCCAGCGGCCCTCGGGATAGGGGTGGCGCAGGGTTTCTTGGGGTTCAGGAGCTTCGGGGGATTAGGGTTTAGGTTTTAGGGTTCAGGGTTTAGGATTCAGGGTTCAGGGTTCAGGGTTTAGGGTTGTTTGCCTAAGCATTTTGGGAGGTTTAAGGGGATTGTTGGGTATAGAGGTTTTAGCGTTGGTTTTTTTTTGAAGAGCTTCGGGGTTCGTTTAGGGATATTGGGGGTTTAGGGTTTAGGGGCTTTAGGGGTATTGGGGTTTGCGGGTTTAGAGGTTTTAGGAGTTTACAGTTTAAGAGGGTAGGGTTCAGGAGTTTAGGATGTTTACAGTGTTCAGTGGTTTTAAGGGGGGTTGGGGTTTTGGGGCTTCAGGGGTTCCGGAGATTTAGGGGTTTTCAGGGCTTAGGGCTGAGCGTTCAGGGCCTTCACATAAGCTGGATTGACCAAGTTCGGTCCCCTGAACCCTAAACCCCCTCAACCCCCTAAACCCTTGAAGCCCCTAAGGTCTGAGTTCAAATCGCCCAAGGTGCGACAGCATGATGGCACCGTCGCCAGCATCAAGGCTGTAGGAGCAGCCTGGCAGCACCCCTGCACCCACCCTGCTTTAGGGCTGAAGGTTCGGGGCTTTTGGGGTTTCGGGTCGGGTTTGATTAGGGTTGAGGGTTTAGCGTTTTGGGTTTTGGGCATCCCGGCACCCACCCTGCTTTGGGGCTTAAGGTTCGGTTTTTGGGTTTAGGGTCCAGGGTTTAGGGTTTAGGGTTGAGGGTTGAGGGTTGAGGGGTGAGGGTTGAGGGTTGAGGGTTGAGGGTTGAGGGTTGAGGGTTGGGGGTTGAGGGATGAGGGTTGAAGGTTTAGGGGTTAGGGTTTAGGGTTTAGGGTTTGGACAATCTAGGTAAAACTGTGGCAGTGGGCTGAGGACACGCGAAGCCATGGCATTGTTCAACGGGCTGTGAGCGCGAAAGGTTAGGGTTCATCTTATTGATCGCAATCAGCTCGAAGAAATCATTCCAACACTACCTGTTCTCCCAAACCACAAACTCTAAACCCTAAACCCTAAACCCACAACCCTTTTCAATCCCATGCCTTTTGCAGCTCTTTGGCTGCGTACCGGATCCGTTCATCCAAGAGCCCCTGTGCAGCCCTCAAGGGCCTGTAGGGAGTGGATTTAGGTTTAGGGTTTAGCGTTTAGGTTTTAGGGTGTAGGGTGTAGGGTTTAGGGTTTAGGGTTTAGGGTTTGGGGTTTGGGGTTTGGGGGTAGGGTTTTGTGATTTAGGGTAGAGCTTACAGGCTTGTTGTAAGTCGGACCCTAAACCCGGTACCCTAAACCCTACGCCCGAAACCCTAAACAATAAGGGACTCTAGCGAATCTCCACCCTCATCCCTCAACCTTCAAAGCACTGCAGGGCAGGCTGGCGATCTCCGCGTCGTAGGAGAACTCGCTGAGGGCCTGGCAGCTGTAGGGTTGAGGGTTGAGGGTTGAGGGTTGAGGGTTGAGGGTTGAGGGTTGAGGGTTGAGGGTTGAGGGTTTAGGGTTTAGGGTTGAGGGTTGAGGGTTGAGGGTTGAGGGTTGAGGGTTGAGAGTTTAGGAGGAAAGGTTTAGGGTTTAGGGTTTGGGGCTTTCTGGCTTAGGGTTCCTGCGCCAGACAAACTCGTAAAACCGACCCTAAAAGCCCTTGACACCCTGAACTCAAACGAGCCCTAAACGACTGAACCAGCCCTTTGAGGGCCTTACATTTTTCCTGCTTAAGAGCGCGTCTGCTGCTTCGTGTGGGAGCTTCTGTCCCACCACGCCAATAAAGGTGCCCTTCAGCCCTGAAGGGGTTTTTGGGTGACCCTAAACCCTAAACCCCAAACCCTAAACCCCAAACCCTAAAAACCCTAAAACCCTAAACCCCTAAACCCCTAAACCCCTAAACCCCTAAACCCCTAAACCCCTAAACCCCTAAACCCCTAAACCCCTAAACCCCTAAACCCCTAAACCCCTAAACCCCTAAACCCGAAAACCCCTAACCCCGAAACCCTCTACACCCCTAAACCCCTAAACCCCTAAACCCCTAAACCCCTAAACCCCTAAACCCCTAAACCCCTAAACCCCTAAACCCCTAAACCCCTAAACACCTAAACCCCTAAACCCCTAAACCCCTAAACCCCTAAACCCCTAAACCCCTAAACCCCTAAACCCCTAAACCCCTAAACCCCTAAACCCCTAAACCCCACCCCCCCCCTCGCCAGGATCCCTGCAGGGCCTCCTGCACGAGCTGCGACCAGATCGACGCGCGGAGGAAGCCTGGGATAAGGGTTTTTGGAAGCAGGGGGGGTTTAGGGTTTAGGGTTTAGGGTTTAGGGTATAGGGTTTAGGGTTTGGGGTTTAGGGTTTAGGGTTTAGGGTTTAGGGTTTAGGGTCCAGGGTTTAAGGTTTAAGGTTTAGGGTTTAGGGTTTAGGTTTTGGTTTTAGGGTCCCCAAACCAACCCTAAACCCCAAACCCAAACCCTAAACCCTAATCATTTTGGAAGAGGGAATCTGGGGCTCAGGGTTGAGGGGTTAGTGGGATTCAAGGTTTGCGACCCTAAGGGTCTGCAAAGCTTAGGTTCTTCGCTCTAACTAAGGGTTGAGGGCCTGCGGATTTAAATTGCGGGGGGGAGAGCGTAAGCTTTCAAGCATGGCCGCAGCACATCTACCACAAGAGCCCCTAGAGAGCCACTTCTCTACATTGATGTCCCTTTTTGGGGTACCCCAACTAAGAACGGGGCTCTCCCAGTGATTGTCCCTTTTTTCGCCAGGTGGCACACAAAATATAGGCCTTCAGGATTTTAGGGCCTTAGTTCGTAGTTTTGGGAACTTGGGGCGTTAACATTGCTTAAAGGTCCCGGAGACGTAAGCCGAGCCGCTAGTAGCATCTTGGCTGATGAAAGGGGTTCGGATGACGCACAGCAGCAGGGCCTCCCCATACTTGGAGGTTCACGGGCACTTGTTGGGTCATACGTACCCCAACCCCAAAAAAATAATAAATAAGAATAGTAATAAACAAAACTAAACAACAAACCAGTAACAAACCAACACCCTCATTCAGGGTTCAGGGTTAAGGGTTTAGCGTTTATAGGATTTAAAAGGGCTTTATAGGGTTTATAGGGCTTTAAGGGTTATAAGGGCGTTATAGGGTTTAATAGGGTTTAATAGGGCTTAATAGGGCTTATAGGGTTTAATAGGCTTAATAGGGCTTATAGGGTTTATAGGGCTTAATAGGGTTTATAGGGTTTCTAGTGTTTTATAGGGTTTATAGGGTTTAATAGGGCTTAATAGGGTTTATAGGGTTTAAAAGGGCTTAATAGGGCTTATAGGGTTTATGGGGCTTTATGGGGTCTATAGGGTTTATAGTGTTTTATCGGGTTTATAGGGCTAATAGGGATTATAGGGTTTATAGGATTTGAGTTCGTGGGTTCGTGGGTTCGTGGGTTCGATGCCCGGCCTTTGGCTGCATGAACCTCGGGAGCGAGGAGCGTAGGGTTTAGGGTTTAGGGTTTAGGGTTTAGGGTTTAGGGTTTAGGGTTTAGGGTTTAGGGTTTAGGGTTTAGGGTTTAGGGTTTAGGGTTTATGGTTTAGGTTTAGGGTTTAGGGTTTAGGGTTTAGGGTTTAGGGTTTAGGGTTTAGGGTTTAGGGTTTAGGGTTTAGGGTTTAGGGTTTAGGGTTTAGGGTTTATTGTCTCCGAGGGCAGATCGGGGGGGATTTCAAAGTGCTCAGAAGGGTTTAGAAGGGTTTAGTAAAGGGTTTAGAAGAGCTTAGATTTGTGTAAAAGTGCTTAGAAGGCTTTAGAAGGGTTTAGAAGGTTTCAAAAGGTTTTAGAAGGGTGGTGGTTTAGGGTTGAAACGAAATCGTAGGCCCTTTTCGGGTACCCGTTGCGGACCATAAAGTAGAGAACGGCCCAGCTAGCGCAGAAAGGAAGACAAGTAGAGGCGGATGCTCTCGGGGGACTTTCTGCATGTTGGTGAGGGATAGGGAGACGAGGAGCTTTGATGGTTCAGCAGTCACACCTTCGCGTCTCCACCCCAAATTTTGCGCACCCCTACGGACATCACTCGGCTAGAGAACAACAAGGAGAAGAGGAAGAATGGAATTTGGGGTTTTCCGTCCTGGCTTTGTGGGTCATGATCTTGCTTTGGGTACCTATGACCCTACTTATGACGACCCATGAGCCTCCAAGTAGGCTTCTAGGGTTTAGGGTTTAGGATTTAGGGTTTAGGGTTTAGGGTTTAGGGTTTAAGGTTTAGGGTGTAGGGTTTAGGGTTTAGGGTTTAGGGTTTAGGGTTTAGGGTTTAGGGTTGAGGGTTGAGGGTTTAGGGCTAAACCCTAAACCCTAAACCCTATATGGGCCCGAAATCGGGTCTGAAATCCAGGCCACACGTCATCCTGCCGATGGAAGACGTAGTTCACCACCTTCAAAGTGAGGGGGGGCTGTTGGGTTTTAGGGCGTTCTAGGCTGCCATATATGTATATATATATATATATCTATCTCATGGGAGCAAACCAAGCCTGAACCCTAAAACCCTCATCGCAAAAACCCTAAGCCTCAAACCCTAGACCCAACAACCCTTAAGCGTTGAACCCTGAACTTCCCAAAACCCCTAAACCCCCCCCCCCCGCCCCCAAGCCCTAACCCTTAACCAACCCTCTAAACCCTAAACCCTAAAGCCTGAACCCGAACCCCTCAACCCTAAATAAACCCTGAACCCTGAACCCTGAACCCTAAACCCTAAACCGCCTTCGGCGCTCCTGGCAGTCGCTGGGGCAGCGCCGGGTTCGGTGACGGGGCGGCCTCCCAGTTTAGGGTCTTTAGGGTGTAGGGTTTGGGTTTAGGGTTTAGGGTTTGGGGTTTGGGGTTTAGGGTTTAGGGTTTGGGGTTTGGGGTTTGGGGTTTAGGGTTTGGGGTTTGGGGTTTGGGGTTTGGGGTTTGAGGTTTGGGGTTTGGGGTTTGGGGTTTGGGGTTCGGGGTTCGGGGTTTGGGGTTTAGGGCCTAGGGTTTAGGGGTTGGGGTTTAGAGGGCTCAGGGCTTTCAGGGCGCCAGCGATTTCAGGGCTAGGGGTTGCAGAGTTTGGGCTTCAGTCTGAGGGTTTGGGGTCTTAGGGGGATCACCCATGGCGCGCATCGTGGACCCTTCATTTCGGGTCATGGGCTCGAGTCACAGCCCGATCCATGGCGCCCGATCCAAGGCGTGGCCGAATACATTTACATCCAGGCGAAGAGTTGTGCAGGGCTTGCAGGGAGTTTTTGGCTTTTTTGGGGCTGGAGGCTGTAGGTTTAAGCAAGCTGAAGGTTAGGGGGTTTGGGGGCTAGGCCGATAAGCTGTCTAAGGCCAAGACAAGACCATGTCCCTGCCTTCATCTCCAGATCCTCCGGGATGAAGGGGTTCCTTAGAAATCGCATTGGGTGTCTGGGGGTTTCCCGAAAATGGGGGGTACCCTTTTTGGGGGGTGTTCTTTAAGGAGATTCTATTCTACTGGGGGTATAAAAGGGGTGCCCCTATTTTGGGAAATACCCGTCTTGCGAGCCACGCACTTTGTGTCGCCGTCCCCGGGCCACATCACCCTTAGCCTCTAGACCTGAAACCCCGAAACGCCCGACACAACACGAGATCCCAGAAGACCCTTCAACCCTCCTCCTATACACTTAGGGTCTTACCTAGAAGGCTCCTGCCTGTCTGGGGCCTCCTCCTACCTAAACCCTAAACCCTAAACCCTAAACCCTAAACCCTAAACCCTAAACCGGAGATGAAAAGCCCAAACGAGCAGCGGCGATGGAAGTCGCAGCTTCGAAGCCTCCGCAAAGGCAGTGGCGGCCTCTGGCGTGGCGCCTTCGAAGGAGGGGATATGGGGTTTAGTTTAGGGTTTAGGGTTTAGGGTTTAGGGTTTAGGGTTTAGGGTTTGGGGTTTGGGGTTTGGGGTTTGGGGTTTGGGGTTTGGGATTTGGGGTTTGGGGTTTGGGGTTTGGGGTTTGGGGGTTTGGGCTGGGTTCAGGGTTTAAGGTCTAGGGTTTGGGGGTTTAGGGCCTTTGAGGCTTTGGGGCCTTTCAGGTTACCAAGGTCTATGGGGTAGGGGTACAGGCTCGGCTCCTGGGTCTAGGGGCCCAGGGCCAGAGCCCAGGGTTAGGGAGTTGACGCTTTGGAGCCCTTGGGGGCTTCCCGAAGCCCTCCTCGAGCCACAAAATCCTCCACCATTCGGCAGCTTAATCTCGCCTAGGGCCCCCCCCCGAAACCCCCCCCCCCCCCAAAACCTAAACCCTAAAGCCTAAAAGCTAAACCCTAACCGTGAAAGCCTGTAAAAAGCCCTTCGCAGCAAGCTGTTCAGGTAGAGGAGGTCCATGTTGTCGGCTTTGGGGCTTTTGTTGGGGGGTTTAACTCAAGCCCCACATGGAAGAGTTGGGAACACAAGACGCCCATCCTAACCCCCCAGAAGCCAGGAAAGCCCTCGACCTGGCTCCGCGAGCCCTTCTCCCTGAGCCCGAAGACCCCACACGCTTCACTGCGCCCCTTCCCACCCGACCCCCTAAACCCTAAACCCTAAACCCTAAACCCCTCCCACCCCAACCCCTGTCCCCTCTTCCCCGCCTCGATTTAGGCCCACTGTCCAGCTATGCCGCCACGCTTCCGGAAGCTCCTTCAGAAGCAAAAATGGGTCGGGCACGTGGGGTTGAAGGTTTGGGTTTGGGGTTTAGGGTTTAGGGTTTAGGGTTTAGGGTTTAGGGTTTAGGGTTTAGGGTTTAGGGTTTAGGGTTTAGGGTTTAGGGTTTAGGGTTCGGGGTTTGGGGTTTAGGGTTTGGGGTTTAGGGTTTAGGGCGTTAAGGTTTGGGATTGAGGTTCGGGATTCAAGTTCGCCACTGGACCTGTCACTCATCAGTCCCCAAGAAGCCATCCCACTTTCTACACCACCCGAGCTCCTAAGGCCTGAGTTCTAAGCCTTAAACTCTCAACCTCCTTTGTCACAAAGCCAAAACTTCCTGGTTCTTAGTAGGGAATGAGGGAAGTAGACCCTTTAAGGGACCCTAAACCCTAAACCCCAAACCCCAAACCCCAAACCCTAAACCCCTCATTCCCTACGAAGAGCCCGCCAGAAAAGCACAAACAGGGCGCCTCAAACTTCATCGGCGAGTCGTAGGACGTGTCCCGGTCTGTGCATCGCTCTTCCAGCACTTTTGCCTCAACAGGGTTTAGGGTTTAGGGTTTAGGGTTTAGGGTTTAAGGTTTAGGGTTTAGGGTTTAGGGTTTAGGGTTTAAGGGTTTAGGGTTTATGGTTTTTAGGGCGTAGGCTTTTTAGGGCGTAGGGTTTAGGAATACTTTGCCTTGGAGGTTGAGACGTTTTCAGATAGTTACAAAGGGCCCTGCGCATGGGCCCCTTAAAGGACCACGTAGCTAGGGCTTAGGATCTTAGACGTAGGTTTTTTGTGTTTTTTTGAGGTCTTAGTGTGGGCTTGCCCGCACCCCAAGGCTTGCTCCGCACCCCAGCGCTCTCGACCTCAAACCCAAGATATCTGACAACGAAGAACCTTCACTCCTGCACCCTAAACCCTGACTCCTAAACCCCGGAACCCTGAAACCCTGCGAAAGCACCCGCCTGGTGGGTCACGCGGACATTCTCCACCGTCAGCAGCTGGACCAGCTCGTTTGTTTTTGAGATGTCAAAGTCCTGGGCTTTCGAGGCTGCACAAACGAGAACGAAGGCAAAGGCGAATGAGAATTGGATAAGATAGAATAACAACATCAATCCCCGAAAACCGATCAATCGCCCCCACCCCCCTTCCCCCCAGTTCCAATTCTTCCATTCTCTTCGTTCCCCCCTCAACCCTACCGAGACACCCACACAACCTTCATCCTTGTCTTTTTTCTATACTTTGGAGTTATTGGATCTGTTTTGGTTTCCTCGTATTTCTACTTTCTTATATGTAAGGATTTGATTGCATCTCCGAAGTGTGCCTGTCTGCATCAGGGCCTAAAGATACCTTGGCGGGGTTTAGGGTTCGGGGTTGAGGGTTTCGGGTTTAGGGTTTAGGGTTTAGGGTTTAGGGTTTAGGGTTTAGGGTAGCTTGACAGCCTACAGCCTTTCCAAGAACACCCGGAGGTCCTCCATCCTACAGACCCAAAACCCTACATACAAGCCCGATGCCCTAAACCCGACAGCCCCTAAACCCCAAATCCGAAAAACTTTAACCCCTAAACTTCAAAGCACGAACCTTGAACCCTAAGCCAGAACTCCAAACCCAAAATTCCCCTAGACTCGAAATCCTAAGCCCTAAACCCTTAACCCCAAACCTTAAACCTTAAACCCTACACCCCAAACCTTAAACCCTAAAACCTGCAGGCCAAGGCTTCGTACAGCAAAAACTGGCCGGCTAGCGCCTCGGAGGGCGGGTGGTCCTGGCACTGGGATTCGAATTGCTTCGTGCTTTGTAGGGGTTTAGGGTTTAGGGTTTGAGGTTTAGGGTTTGGGGTTTAGGGTTTAGGGTTTAAGGTTAGGGTTTGGGGTTTAGGGTTTAGGGTTTAGGGTTTAGGGTTTAGGGTTTAGGGTTTAGGGTTTAGGGTTTAGGGTTTAGGGTTTAGGGTTTAGGGTAACCCAACCTCGGATCCAGGAAACAAGTGATAAAACTCGGATAAGTGGCTCGAGTTGAATTCGTGCCGGCGACGACCCTAAACAGCATGGACAAGATGTGGGAAGCGAAGCTATGCGATAACAGAAGCTGCTGCTTTGGTGTGTTTGCCCATGGTTCGGGCCTACACAATGCTTGCGCTCGACACATTCTAGAAGTTTCAAAGCATTGGCCCGCTTAACAACCTTTGATTGCAGTCGGTGCAAAGCCCGCCCCGTCGTCTAGCACCGTCCTGCAGAGGATCCGGCCACACCTGCATACCGACATACTCATTTCACAAAGGAGCAACAACACAGCAGACAGATATGAACCGAACGTTTATTTTAGGCAGTCCGGAAACATGCTCCGGGACTGAGATCACCAGTTCATGGTGCCTTCTGGACACGCGGAAAGCTCTCGAGCACAAGTTCGGCCGGTAGCACAGGCTCCCCCCGCGGCCGAGCCAAGCCTGCTCGCAACAAAGTGGTGGGCCCAAACTTAGGGCCAACGCTGTTCGAGCTCCCGAGCCGCGTTCCACCCATCCACACCCCCAAACCTGCGTTCCATCCAAACCCGCAGGCCATTTTCTGCGGGAACCTCCAGCTTCCGAGAGCCCCTCCCCCCCTCCCACCCCAGCTCCCGTGCATTCCACCCATCCAGCCACCAGCTCCTGAGCCCTACCCCACCCATCCAGCCACCCTTGTCTTCTGGGGCCTGTTTGGCCCCAAATCCGAAACCCAACAAGGCTTCGGGTTCGGTGCTTTGGGATTTACATGCTCCGTAGGTGGGGAATCCCGGCATCCACCAACCCAATGATTCGATAACTTGCTTATATAAGGGAATTTTTTCGCTGAGAACCAGCAAGATCAGTATGTCCTGAAGAGAAGCAGCAATGCTGGCTGCCAACGAGAATGGCTGCCGGTCCTCGCGCCAAAACCGAAAACAAATCTCAGCCATCAAACCCAGCGCGGACGGGAGAATTTGTTGCCTACGGGTATCTAGAACCAGAGGAGGGGCATTTTAAGTAAGGAGGCTAGAACTATGGCTGGCTGTCACAATTCTGATTTACATGGCATGAACCTTAAGGCACTGCCTGCCTTAGGGTTTAGGGTTTAGGGTTTAGGGTTTAGGGTTTAGGGTTTAAGGTTTGGGGTTTAGGGTTTAGGGTTTAGGGTTTAGGGTTTAGGGTTTAGGGTTTAAGGTTTTTGGACAAGGTGTCCTCCTAGACCTCAGGGACTTCCTGAAGCCCTCAGTCGCTACAGGAGTGCTTCCGTGAAGACAGGGAGACAGTGTCCTTCAACTAGGGCACCCTAGATTCTCCTGCACCTTGAAACCACCTGGGTGTAGGGCTTAGGGTCACTTTTGACCCTGAACCTCACCTAAACCCTGAACCTTCCCCCTCCCCTCCCCCCCCCCTCCCCCGCCCCTAAGGTCCCCATGCTCTCTGTTATCCTTTTAGGGGCGGGCTCACCCTCAAAGGCTGGCACCCCAGCACCACAAACAGGCTGCTTTGGGGTGAGACTATGGTGCAGCTTGACATCCGAGGCCACAGGGGGAGGGGCGGGGCGGGATCGTGCGGGGGGAGGGGTGGAGGGGGGGGAGGGGGGGGGGGAGGGGGGAGGGGAGGAGGGGGGGGGGAGGGGGGGGGGGAGGGGGGGGGGAGGGGGGGGGGGAGGGGGGAGGGGGGGGGAGGGGGGGAGGGGGGGGGGAGGGGGGGGAGGAGGGGGGGGGAGGGGGGGGGGGGGCGGGGGGGGGGAGGGCCAGCAGAGTCTACACAGCAGCGCAGTAACCCACACAGCAGCCTGAAAAATTGCCCAACATTATCCCCTTGTATTCACCAAACGAAACATGGTGAAAGCTGCCCGAAAAATTCTGTTGGACAGGAACCCGAAACCCAAACACAAATAGACCTGCAAACCCTCAACCCCCCAATTACTACACAAGGTGAACCCTCAACTTTGAAAAACCCCAAAAAAACTAGATAGTATCTCGGGCAACCCTAAACCCCCCTAAGCCCTAAACCCAATTCAAAATCCGAGCGCCTTTCAATTATCCCAAACCCTAGCCCCTAAACCCTGCACCCTAAACCCTAAACCCCAAACCCCCCGTGTCCGATGCGAACTTGAACTGGATCCGACGCAGTCTCTGCATCTCTTCCTTGGCGCAAAGCCGGAGGGTTTAGGGTTTAGGGTTTCGGGTTTGGGGTTTCGGGTTTGGGGTTTTAGGGCCTAGGGTTTAGGGCTTTAGGCGTTTAAGGCTTGGGGTTGTGGGGTTCTAGGGTTTGGCGGTTCGAGGCACCTCTTCCCCAAAAGGCGCCAAGTGGCATTAGGGTCTACTAGACCCCAAGAGTATCCTGCGAGAAAAACAAGGTACCCTTTTTGGTTTTAAGAGGGCTTAGAACCTCAACCCTAAAAAGAAAAGGAATAAAGGCCTACTCGTCTAGGGTTTCGGCGGTTTGGGGTTTGGGGTGTATAGGGCCCGATAAAAGCTTGGGGCAAAATGCGGAGCTCGCCGGTCTGGGGATGTAGGGTTGATAGCTCTGACATGAACCGTTACACCGAAGCATGAGGACAAGGCCAGGGCCCTGCTTTGCGGAGGACATGCGGAGCGCGGGGCGGTGCATGCGGTACATGCTGAAGGAGCCCCTGACATGAACCCTAGACCCTCCCAAGTCCAGGGGTATAGGGTTTAGGGGTTGAGGGTTCAGCCAACCAGATAGCGCACGCAAGGCCTTCTGCTATTTGCACAAAACTTAAACTGCGCAACGACGGGTTGCCCTTGCGAATTGTAGACTACTTGCCAGCGATTAGACTGCTATTAGCGGCTTGTTGAAATGTGTCTGGTTCTTGGGGGCATCTCTCCGGAAGCTACCGGACCCCGAGTTTTTTTTGGTCCAGGGCTTCGGGGTACGCGGCCCCAAAGTCATTTAGTCTAAACGATGGCCCTCATCCTCAACCGAACCCTAAGCCTAAAACTTGACCTCAAACAATCCATGGTTTGGGGTTGAGGCTGGGGACTTTGGGGTTGAGGATCTTGTGAGGGCTTGGGGGTTTGGGGGTCATCTCTTGTCCGAGCAGCGAGAATCCACTCTTTTATGCCGACCGCCTTCCAGCAGCAGGTGACGCAAGAAGATAGGGACACGAAGTCCCACGAAGCAGGGCAGAACACGAAGCTGCATCGATTTGGGCAGGGAAGCATCCTCGAACCCTCGCTGCTGCATCCCTTCACCTCTTGGTAGAAGCTGCTGCAAGATCGAAAGCAGGCCCCCAGGTGTTTGCTCTTGGGATGCTCACAAGCTTTGGGGGCATTTGGGGGCCTTCGTTCCCAGGCTCCGAGTGCACCAAACAGTTGAGGCCGTCTCGGTTTTTAAGGGATGCAGAGCGCGGGGCTTAGGACGAAAAGCTTTGAAGCAACGCTAGCCCCCCCCTTTGCTGTGAGTGCATAAAGGCAGTCCCACCTGCAGCATGCCAATGTAAGTGAAGAGGCACTTGCCAATCTCCTCGACGGCATGCACTGAGCCTGCAGGGACCATAGCCCCCCAAACCCCCGAAAGCGCCCTCCGGCTTAGGGTTCAGGATTTTGGGGTTTAAGCTTGGGGGTGTAGGGAACCCTGAACTTTAAAACCTATCCCGAGGCCCGTTCCCTACCCTAAAACTGATTCTTATGGGCACTGTAGTCATCATCAGGGCACTCCAGGGATATTCTGCGCGGCCTTCTCTTGGATTGGACTCTCCGGTTCTTTGCGACTCCATGGATACGGATACACTGCGAAATTCTCTGCGTGACTCTCTCACGGGTTTTCTGGGGCGGGGTGGGAGACCGGAGCGAGTAGTACAAGAGTCCCGGGCGAAGAGAATAGCCGTGACAAAAATCTAACAACCCTACCCCGAAGATGGGCAACAAGAAGCGACCTCCAGCATGGCTGCACCCGACAAAGACGCAATTTGAGGACCACTTTAGCTATCTCGGAGTTGGCCACTCCAGGGATATTTCTGCGAGAGTCTGTGGAATTCTGCGTGTGGGCACTCCGGAACTACTCCCTGGGATTCCCTGCTTGTCTAGGGGTGGAAGTGGAGTGGACCTCTAGAGACACTCCGCAGGATTCTTCCCTGTGTGCGAACCCAGACTCGCCCCTTTAGGCTCCCAAGCCGTGATTCAGCCTTAAACCCAGAACCTTAGCACCAATAAAGAAGCTCAAAAGTCTTGAGCCCATGGCCTTCCGTCAAGGTGAAAGAAACCTGCGGAGGGGGTTTGCGTAAGGTTTGGGGCTTAAGCTCGTCAGGGCTTTCGAGCTCAACCCTTAAACTTCCCAAATCTGCTACCCTAAACTGGGTGAGCGGCAGCGAGCGTGCAGGGGTCGAGAGCCCCTGTCAGCTCGAAGCTGTCGCGTCAGTCGCAGCGAAGGAGCAGGTGCAGGCAAACGGTCGCGTGCTGGAACTGCTAGATATGACCCTAAACCTTAGGTCGGACCGTCGCAACCTTTGGATTTAGGATTCAGCCTCCAGCCTTGGGAACCCCAGAATCCTCCATGGGAGCCCCTGGAAGCTTACCAAGGGCAAATTTGGTCAAGGTGGGGGAGGGGGGGTCGCATTTTGCCATTCCAGCAATAATGCTGCACAGATGTTGATGGCGCGCCGGACAACGGGGCTTATGGGAGGGGCTATTTAAGGCTCCCAGAGCCTTTGCAAAGGCCTTTGAAGCCTCCCAGAGGCTTGTTGGGCCTCGGGGCTCAGGGTCTTCCAGGGGCTTTGAACACCTCGCTGCGATCCGAGGAGAAATCACATGGGATGGGATTCAAGCAACTAATTGACAGGAGAGCCGACAAACAATGTGTATACATATGTGTATGTATATGAAAACCCGAAACACGACCAAAGTCATAGCTTGGGTGGGCGAGCTGGGAGGGAACGTGAACCTTGGCACACACCCAACACCCGTGCGCAGTGGTGTGCGCGCAGCATGGGCCACACCCTCAACCCTAAACCCTAAACCCTACTTTGGCTTTTGGAGGTTTGGGTAGTTTAGGGTCGAAGACTCATGCTTCGGGCTACTGCTGCCACAAAGTTGATAACTACTTCATCCTTTGCTGCGCGCTAAGATGCCTGAAGTAGAAGCCCTCAAGTACACCCGACAACTGGAGCCTAACGCTCTGCATGCCAAGTGTTCAAACTCCGTCGTTCCGAGAGGCACAAAGTTCAGACAGGTGTCACTTCTAGAACTTTAGGCCCTCGGGTTTTTCAGGGTTCAGGGGGTTTTGAGGGCTTTGGGGTTTTAGGGCATAGGGTCTTTAGGGTTTCCATAGCCTCGAGCCCTGCACTCGAAGCGCGCCTGGAGTAGCGAGAAGGCTCCCTCGAGCCATCCGCCCATGGACGACACACAGCTCACGATCAGACCACGCTCCTCAAGAAGAAGTCGTCAAACCAAGGGGGTGGTCGGTCTTTGGGCCGTCTACCCATCGCTGGAGATGCTCTTGCACTTTGGGGCTCACTGTCACTGGGGTTTTGGGGCTTGGGGCTGGGCGTCTTTTTGTCCATGTCCTGACTCCTATGTGCATGCTCAAATTTCCCACATGCCTCACACACAAGTGTTGTGGTATTCGCAGGCATGAGAGGTAGCGGACTTTGGGTTAACAGGGCTTGCGTAAGCATCCGGGCTTCGGGATCATCCCCCAAGCCATACGGCTGCTTCTTTAAAACTCTGGTCCCTTTTGAGGTCCCTAGATTATATGACGGCCAAAAGGGACCATGATTCAAAGAACTGACCAATACAACTGGGGTAGAAGTAGCCGGCGCTTCGTCAAACGAACTAGATCGGAAGTTGGGGCTCAGGGGTTTGGGGAGGGGAGTCTACGCTCGGCTGGAGGCGGAAGGAGCCCACCTGGCCCCTAAACCTGAAGCCCCCAAAATCCTGAATCCCTCAACAAAGGACAGGGTTTAGGGTTTTGAGGGTTTAGGGTTTAGGGTTTAGGGCTGAGGGTTTAGGGTTTAGGGTTTAGGGTTTAGGGCTGAGGGTTTAGGGTTTAGGGTTTAGGGTTTAGGGTTTAGGGTTTAGGGTTTAGGGTTTAGGGTTTAGGGTTTAGGGTTTAGGGTTTAGGGTTTAGGGTTTAGGGTTTAGGGTTTAGGGTTTAGGGTTTAGGGTTTAGGGGGACCCTGAACCTTCTACTTGCAGCCGCGTCGTCCTTGAGCACGGCCGTCCTTGCTTCGGCAAGCTGGGGGGCTCCAACCCTCGAGGCAAAAAGCCTTCTCAGGGCACCTGGAGGTTCATAGATGGGTACTTTTAGTAGGGTAGAAAGTGCCCTGATTAAGGTTATAACCATAGTCACCCTACTTATATCAAGTATACAACCATGAACCTCCAAGTAGTTTCATGGCCCCTTAATATGGTCCCTTACCTCCTCTGAAGGGTTCTAAAGTATGGGTTCTTGGGTTGTAGATGAGGGGAGTATCAGGGGTCCCCTTTTAAGGGGCCATATTCAGGGACCATGCAGCTACCCGAAGAAGCTCAAAGCCCTGAAGCCCTACTTGGCATGCGTAGGGTTCTGTGTAGGGCAACTGTTGTTCTGGCCTTAGTTACCTATCACCCTGCTAGTACAAGTAGCCCTGAAGCCCTAAACCACCCTCGAGCCCGATCACACCTAACAGGTCAAGAAAAGCTCTTCGAGGTCGGCACTTTGGGGGGTCAGGGAACGACAGGATGTTGCAGCAGGCTTCTGGGTCCTAGGGCTTATGGAGGGCCGACCCTTGACGATGGCAAGATCTCAAACCTTATTGAAGGCTCAGGAGTAGTTGCGAAAAACAGGGCAACTGCAGCTAGAACTGGACAGAAACTTCTATCAGGGGGTGTATGTACCCTACCCTAAGCCCTACACCTTAAACCCTAAACCCCAAACCCTAACCTTCAAACCCTAAACTCTTCAAACCCCAAACCCGAACCCTGGATCCAAAGAAGACCCGAGCCGAAGCGCAGGGAGCCGGCACCCTCGTGCCCCAAAAGGTGTGACGCGTAGGCCTCTCGTGGCCCAGGACAGAAGCTTGGGGTTTAGGGTTCAGGGTTGAGGGTTGAGGGTTTAGGGTTTAGGGTTTAGGGTTGAGGGTTGAGGGTTGAGGGTTGAGGGTTGAGGGTTTAGGGTTTGGGGTTGGGGGAACCTTTGGCATGCAGGATGTTTCCTTGATTTGGCAAAAAATTGGGCTCAGGGTGGGGGGTTTCAAGTTGAGGCCATAGCCTAAACCCCAAGCCCCAAGCCCTAAGCCCGAAGCCACAAGCCCTACACCCCAAACCCCAAAACCCGCAGTGCAGCCCAGCGGCGGTGGGCTTGCTACGCCAGAGCGGCCCTTGCCATGGGATCACCCAGCTGAACTTCAGCCTGGGGGGGGCGGTTGCGGGGTTTAGGCGTTAGGGCTCCTAAAACCCTAAACCCTAAACCCTAAACCTTAAACCCTACTACATACCTAGGCCCTAACCCTCCTATGACCCTCAAACCCCAAACCCTAAACCCTAAACCCTATGTTCCCAAGGCTCTTAAGACTTGCGGGGCGAGGTTTGGAGGGTCTTGGAAGGCCATCTTCCGCCGCGCGGGCCCTGCTAACCTCAGAGTTTCCCCCCGGAAGCCCTGGCGCCCCAAAGGTCTGGGTAGATGGGGTTTTGGGTTTGGGTTTGGGGTTTAGGGTTTAGGTTTAGGGTTTTGGGTTTTGGGTTTGGGGTTTAGGGTTTAGGTTTTTTGTTTTTTAACTGGGCTCGCTTTTTCAAGAGGGTTCAGGGTTTAGGATACAGGGTTTAGGGTTTAGGGTTTAGGGATTAGGGTTTAGGGTTTAGGGCGTGGCAGGGCATGCATGGGGTTGGACGACAAGTATGAGCAGCCCTAAACGAGAAGCCGGTATTTACTGGCTCGAGGATTTAGGCCCAAGGCTTGAAATCTTTAAGCCTCCACACCACAATAAGGGCTGATTCGCCCTGAACCCTCAACCTTAAGCCCTAAGCCCTAAACCCTAAACCCTAAACCCTAAACCCTAAAAACTGAACCCCAAGTCCCCTGAGAACATTAGTTTTCGGCAGGGGCAGCTGCGGCCCTAAACCCTAAACCCTAAACCCTAAACCCTAAACCCTAAACCCTAAACCCTACACCCTAAACCCTAAACCCTATACCCTAAACCCTAAACCCTAAACCTAAACCCTAAACCCTAACCCTAAACCCTAAACCCTAAACCCTAAACCCTAAACCCTAAACCCTAAACCCTAAACCCTGACCCTAAACCAAAGCATCCCCGGCTCGGCAGCCGGACGATTTGACGTCCTTGACGGGCGCTTGCAAAAGTAAGCGGTTCCACTCCTGTCCACGAGGGCTTGGGGTTTAGGGTTTAGGGTTTAGGGTTTAGGGTTTAGGGTTTAGGGTTTAGGGTTTAGGGCTTAGGGTTTAGGGTTTTCTGGGGTTTAGGGTTAGGTTTTAGGGTTTAGGGCTAAGAGTTGTTGAGTAAGATCTTGGAGTTGGGGTTTGGCCTCCCCTTCCCTGGAAAACGGAAAAACGGAACATCACGTCCTGTGTCTACCCATAACTACGCCCGTCAGGTCCCACTTCGGATGGGTGAATGAAGGGCAAGAGGATATAGATGTGGCTCAGGGCCGCCGAAACTTTGAGGGCTGAGGGGTTGGGGGAGAGTCTTCACAGGCCACAGCGATAGAGCTTGTTACTAGGCAGAAGGGCTCTCACGGAACACAGCCCTAGCAAACACTTCTGACCCGAAGCATGGATTAGGGCTTGGGATTTAGGCCCACAGGCATACTTGCACTGTACGCCGGAGTAGCGAAGCCCCAAACCGGAAGACACAAACCCCACTCTGAACTGAACAGTCTGCTAAGCCCTGAGGGTTAAAGTTTCGGATTTAGGGTTTCGGATTTAGGGCTTAAGGTTAGGGTTTAGGGTTTACAGTTTAAGGTTCGGGTTCGGGGTTTAGGGTTTAGGTCCCTCCCCATCGTCCTTGGGAAGGAAGGGTGGCTGGTCACTGACCGCCTCACCTGTCACAGGGGCGAGGCGGTGGGGTCGATGGGGTTGGAATAGGCAGTCCGGGGGCCTAAACCCTAAACGCTAAACGCTAAACCCTAAACCCTAAACCCTAAACCCTAAACCCTAAACCCTAAACCCTAAACCCTAAACCCTAAACCAACCCTAAACCCTGTACCCTGAACCCTAAGCCCTGAACCCTGAACCCTAAACCCTAAACCCTTCGGCCTTCGGGGAGGGCTTTTAGTGATGGAGGGGGACAGGCTCAGGATAGCTTAGGGCTTAGGGCTTCAATGGATGATACCCTAAAGCTAGGCGATCGGATTAGGGGGACCCTTGGGGATACAGACCCTCTGAGTAAGGTCCCTGTTGAAGAAAGCCAGAAGAGGGTTAAGAAGGGGTTCCCTGTTAAGGGTCCCCCTTATCCTACCTAGGAAAAGCCCCTGTGTGTGTATCATGAGGCGTGGTTCTTTGTTTCATTGCCTAAGCTTTGCCAGCACCAGAGTTCGCAGACCTCTGAGGCCCCAAGCCCCAAACCCCAAACCCTCAACCCTAAACCCGAAGCCCGAAAGCCCTAAAGCCTAAACCCTAAACCCTAAGCTGTAAGCCCCCCAAGGCAAAGACACTGTGTCACTTACGGCCTTGGAGTTGGGTTTAGGGTGTAGATGGCTTTAGGGAAAGTATTCTGCGAGGTACAGAGACACAGATGCCAAACAAACGATAACATGGATGGCAATCACGGGAATGGCCGCAACAACAGGAAATTCAGGTCGGGCTCAAACTCTGGCCATTTGATTCGGAAGCTCAACTCTGAACCCTCCAGCCTTTTGGCAGGCTCAAGCCCTTGTTTCCGATGTCGGAGAACCTCTCCCGAATCATTGCCTGGCGCAGGGGCCCGTAAAGGTAGATGCCTTCCGACCCTCCCGCACGCAGCACGGGAAGATTCTCGGAGGCTGCCCCTCCTCACGACTACGAACCTGCGACTGGCAGTAACTGTAAACCCCAAACCCCAAACCCAACCCCCCCAACAAAAAAAAAAACTATATATATATATATATATATAATACATATATAATACATATATAACATAAAATATGAATACAAATAAATATAAATAGAATATAAATAGAATATAAATATAATATAAATATAATATAAATATAATATAAATATAAGATAAATATGAATACAAAAATAAATATAAATATGAGTATAGATATAAATATCAATATAAATATACATATAAATATAAAAAAATAAATCTAAATATGAATATAAATATAAATATAATTATAAATATAAATGTAAATATAAATAAAAATATAAGTACAAATGTAAATATAAATATGAGTATACATATAAATATAAATATAAATATAAGTATAAATATAAATATAAATATATGTTGCAGCCTCCAACTCCTCCACGCTCTCCTCCATAGGGTGGAACTCCCCCCTGTTCCCCCTTGTACTAGCAGGTTTGGGGTTTAGGGTTTAGGGTTTAGCGTTTAGAGATTAGGGCTAACAGTCCTTAACAGGGACTATAATACCCCGCTCTACGACTTCTTCCTCCACGCGTGCCCCGCAGAGAGAAGCCACCCCTCGTAGATAAGCCCTATTCAGGACTGTTAGTATAAGGTAAGGGGGGAACCTAACAATCCTTAACAGGGATTATGGTGCCCCCTAGTAGAATCCCTAAGAATCCCTACTAAGGACTGTTCGTATAAGGCCAACAGCTAGCCCTCAAGCTTGAGAACCCCAAAACCCTGCACCCTGGACCTGCAATTCCCAACAATTCTCACACCTAAACTTTAGAACCCCCTCAATTGCCAAGGTCTAGGCCTCAGGGCTTTGAACTTTTTGTTCATTCCGAAAGCCCTATAACCCCATGAATCGATTCGGGTGGAAGCCAGGGTTTCTGGGGCTTGGGGGCTTGGGTTTGAAGGTTGGAGCTTTGGGCAGGCTTATAGGGGTTTAGGGGTTTAGGGGTTTAGGGGTTTGGGGGTTTAGGGGTTTAGGGGGTTTAGGGGTTTAGGGGTTTAGGGGTTTAGGGGTTTAGGGGTTTAGGGGTTTAGGGGTTTAGGGGTTTAGGGGTTTAGGGGTTTAGGGGGCTTAGGCGTTTAGGGGTTTACGGGTTTACGGGTTTACGGGTTTAGGAGCTCATCGGGTTCTAGGGTGAAGGCAAACCCTTCACCCCAAACTACCCCTGCGCTAAAGAAACCCTACCCTGAGCCCTAAACCCCAAACCTAGACCCAAGAGTAACCCAGGAATAAAAAAGGGTGCCCTTTTCCTTCTGAAGGGGCTTGTAAGAGGGAACCTAAACCCCCCAAAGAAAGGGGAATAAGGGCCTATTCTGGGTTCTAGAAAACATTCTCCTTGCCTAAGCCCTCAAAACGAGGGAACCAGGGCCTACCTCTGGGTCCTCGAAACATTCTCCTTGCCTAAACCCTAAGAGGGGGAATGAGGGCCTACTCTGGGTGCTAGAAACACTCTCCTTGCCAATGACGCACAACGTCATCCCATTGGCCTGGTCAGGGGCCGAGGGAAAGATGGGTGCTGGGGTTGAGGCCGTGGAAAACGAGAGCACGCGTGGTATAGGGGCCTGAGATGATTAAATAGGATTTGGGTGGCTATTCTAGTATAATAACTATATAGGGACCATAAGGGGATAGTATTAGTAATTTTCTCCGACCCCTGTTATGCCCGATAAGCCTTCAGCCGCGCAGGAGAAGGCACATCTCGAAGAAAGGAGCAGTCCCAAATTTGTCTACGACGCAAACCAGAGTAGTCGACCCGGAACCACCAAAACACAAACAAGAAAAAATGCACATGATCTGAGATAGCTTTCTTGCTGCCCAAACTCACTAGACAATTAAGACAGAGCTACAGACGCCAGCAGAAGGCTTAGACTTTCGGGCTTATGGGGCTTCAATGTTTGCCATATCCTGCCTAGAGTCTTCTCGTACGATGTGGGAAACCCGGCTTGGCCCCCAACTGCTGAAAGGCATCCTGAAAATACAGTCAACCCTAAACCCTAAATCCTACACCCTAACCTTAAACTGCCCTAAACCCTAAACCCCAGAACAACCTCCCCTGCCCGGCCGAGTAGAACTCATCGTAGAACTTGAGCATTTCGGCATAGAGATCGAGGCCTGCGGTTGGGCATTCAAGTTGGGATGTTCCCCCATAAACTAACAATCCCTAATCAGGACTATAGTACCCCCCCCCCCCATATTATAACCCCTTTTAAGGACTGTTAGTATAAGGGGAAACATCCCAACATTTTAGGGTTTGCCGTCCAACGACTTGCACATGCTGTGCCGACGGTCTTCGGGTGTGGCCGGATGAACATCCACTCAAAAGTTTCGTCTCAAGAGGGTTTAGGGGTTCGGTTTACGCGGGCTTGCGCAGCTTGCTCTTCAAGCAACTGAAGACGTAAAGCACAAAAGCCATGTAAGAGCTGGGCCTTCAGCACCCAGGGTCTGCATCCCTACAAGCACACCCCGCGACCCATTCTCCAAAGCCCTCAAGCACAAGTCTCTTCCATGGACCACAACAGTGATCCTATCTGTTGCAGTAGGGGGTAACGGGTAGAGCTTGGGATGTTCCCCCTTACACTAACAGTCCTCAATAGGGATTATTTTAGGGGGCACTATAATCCCTATTAAGGACTGTTAGCATAAGGGGTAACGGGTAGGGCATAAACCCCACCAGCCCGAAGTGATGGGCATGGGCCTTTCTCCTTCGGGTCGTCCCGCAGCATCTTGTTGTTGCCGCAGGCCTCGGCACTAAGGCTACTACAAGAAAGGGTCGCTCAGGACCACGTCACCACCTTAAATATGTACTCGTTTAGGGTTTAGGGTTTAGGGTTTAGTAGGGTTTAGTAGGGTTTAGTAGGGTTTAGTAGGGTTTAGTAGGGTTTAGTAGGGTTTAGTAGGGTTTAGTAGGGTTTAGTAGGGTTTAGTAGGGTTTAGTAGGGTTTAGTAGGGTTTAGTAGGGTTTAGTAGGGTTTAGTAGGGTTTAGTAGGGTTTAGGGTTTAGGGTTTAGGGTTTAGGGTTTAGGGTTAGGGTTTAGGGCTAGGCGGGGCCATGACAGACCCACGCGTTTTCGGCAGTTTAGTTCTGTTGCCCTCAGAATCCCCTGCAAATGCCGATGTTTCCTGGGTTTCGCCCATCACCTCATCCCCGCAATTTTCATCCAAAATTATCCAACAATTTTTTGGGCATCCGTGGACTGCGCTGGTATTTGTGGGTTTTTTGCACTACTTCGCACTTTCGACGTGTCCTAAACTAAGCCCTGTCTTGCTTGCATCCGCTTCTGCCCAGCCCTGGGTCAAAATAACACGTTTGCTTCACCATAGTTAGAAGAGAGCATCCATGGCCCAACCATGATGACGTCCATAGTCCAATCCGTTCTGGGAAGAGAGTATCCATGGCCCAAGCATGATGACGTCCATGGTCTACTCTGTTCTGATGAGAAGAGAGCATCCATGGCCCAAGCATGATGACGTCCATGGTCTACATGTTTTCTGCACTGCCATGGCCCAACCATGATGACGTCCATGGTCTACTCCGTTCTGGGAAGAGAGCATCCGGGGTCCAAGCATGGTCTATTCTGCTCTGATGAGAAGAGAGCATCGATGGCCCAAGCATGATGACGTCCATGGTTTACATCGTCTAATCCGTTCCGGAAAGGTTAAACCTTCTTCTGGGCAGAAATGGCTGGAAGTTCTTGCTTTTAGGCGCCCTGGGGAGCAGAAAGGCGTCATTTCTCAACACTAAAGGCGGTGACCTAAGTCCTGCATCTCAGGTTTGCTGGTGGGGCCACAGTTTTGCGCGGGTCTGTTGTGGACCCGCCAGGGTTTAGGGTTTAGGGTTTAGGGTTTAGGGTTTAGGGTTTAGGGTTTAGGGTTTAGGGTTTAGGGTTTAGGGTTTAGGGTCCCCCCCCTCCCAAAAAAGAAAAAAAAAAACACACAACCCTGCGGCCCTACGACCCTCAAGCCCTCCCAAATCCACGGGGGCTCCTGGTGGAGAACCCCAACCTTCGAACCCCCGAAACCCTCAAAACACGGAAGAAATAATCCAAAGCCGAAATCTTCCACTGCCAAGGGTTTAGGGTTTAGGGTTTAGGGGTTTAGGGTTTAGGGTTTAGGGTTTAGGGTTTAGGGTTTAGGGTTTAGGGTTTAGGGTTTAGGGTTTAGGGTTTCCAAAGCCGAAATCTTCCACTGCCAGCACCCTCAAGCCACCGAAGAAAACCGTGAGACCCTCGCTTCACGACGTGCTTAGACTAGGGCTACTTGGAGGTTCGGTACTTAGAAGTAGGGTTATAAAACTGGTAGCTGTGGTTATAACCTTGCTGAGGGTACTTCGAACCCTACTTGTAACCATCCATGAACCTCCAAGTAACCCTAAACCCTAAACCCTAAACCCTCAACCCTAAACCCTAAACCCGAAAAGGCCCAGAGCTGGGACGCTGACGACGTGGAAAGGGTGGTCGGGGTTGGCACTCATGTTCAGAATGCCTCCCAAGCAGGGCTCAGGAGTTTCAGGGCTCAGGGTTTAGGGTTTAGGGTTTAGGGTTTGGGGTTTAGGGTTTGGGGCTTAGGGTTTAGGGTTTAGGGTTTAGGGTTTAGGGTTTAGGGTTTAGGGTTTAGGGTTTAGGGTTTAGGGTTTAGGGTTTAGGGTTTAAGGTTAGGGTTTAGGGTTTAAGGTTTGGGGTTTACCTCCCGGAAGCTGCCGACACCCCAGCCCCTTCCAGACCCTCAAAAGCCCCCTTAAAGCCTGATAATCTTCGAGCCTAACATCCAGCCGAACTTGACCCTTACCACCCAAAAAAAAACGAAAGACCCCCAAACCCCCAAACTCCCCCTGAACCCTAAACCCAAAAACCCACAAACTCTCAACCCTAAACCCCAAACCCGAAACCCTCAACCCCAAACCCCAAACCCTAAACCCTAAACCCCAAACCCTGAACCCCCAAACCCCAAACCCCAAACCCCAAATCCTCAAACCCCGGCCTATGTCCCGCCAGAAGGGGTTGGTCACCCCGGCTTGGAACTCCGAGTCGACTGCGTTGATCTCCCGGTCGGTGCAGTCCTCGACTTCTCGGGGGCGTTTCCAAGGGTTTTCAGGGGTGTTTAAGGGACTTTTAAGGGCTTTTAAGGGGTTTTCATGGGGTTTTTAAGGGGTTTTTAAGGGGGTTTTAAAGGGACTTTTCAGAGCTTTTAAGGGGTTTGTTAAGGGGTTTCTTAAGGGGTTTTTAAGGGGTTTCAAGGGGCTTTATAGGGGGCTTTTACGGGCTTTTCAGGGGCTTTTCAGGGGCTTTTAGGGGGCTTGAAAAGAATTTGTTGAGGGGTTTTAAGGGTCTTTAAGGGGTTTCAAGGGGCTTTTTCGGGGGCTTTTAAGGGGTCTTACGGGGTGTTCAGGGTTTTTAAGGGGCTTCAAGGGCCTTTAAAAGAGCTTTAAAGGGGTTTGTGAAGGGGTTTCAAGGGATTTGTTAAGAGGTCTTAAGGGTTTCAAGGGGGGTTTCAAGGGCAAGGGTGTTTTCCAGGGTGTTAAGGGGTCTCAGGGGTGTTAAGGGGGGTAAGGGGTTGCAAAGGGGTTTTTGGGTGCTAAAGGGTTTTAAGGGGTTTAAAGGGGTTCTAAGGAGTTTAGGGTGCAGGGTTTCGGGGAACTATGGATGGGCTTAAGGGTTTTAACGGCTTTTGGGATGCTTTCATTAGGGGTGTTTTTGTGGCGCTTTAAGGGGCTTTTTGTATTTTGGGGGTTGGGTTTTGGGGGATGTAAGGGATTTGGGCTTTAAGTGCTTCAAAAGGCTTTCAGAGCTGCTAAGAGCACAAAGCAACCCTCCACCTGCGGTCCTTCGTCAGCAGCGGCTCGGAAAAGAAGCGCGCGAAGCGATCGAGGGCGTCGGCCAAGGCCTCCACCTTCACCTGGAACCTGCGCTTTAACTGAGTGCCCATGGGATAGGATAGGGTTTGGGGTTTGGGGTTTGGGGTTTGGGGTTTGGGGTTTGGGGTTTGGGGTTTGGGGTTTAGGGTTTAGGGTTTAGGGCAAAGGAGTGCTTTTCCAAAGAAGGGGGGGGGGGGTCCCTGAACAGATGCCAAGATATCATTTTGCGGTCTTCGGATTGCACCCCGAGCCCCTGTGGGTTGTGGGGTCTAGGATTAAGGGCTTCGGGTTTAGGGTTTAGGGTTTAGGGTTTAGGGTTTAGGGTTTAGGGTTTAGGGTTTAGGGTTTAGGGTTTAGCGTTTAGGGTTTAGGGTTTACGATTTTGAGGGCTTGGGGTATGGGATTCAAGGAGGTAGAAAGAAGGCCCATTCCCTGGGGGGTCCATGTACCTCGGGCCTTAAACCCTAAACCCCAAACCCTGAACCCCAAACCCTAAACCCTAGAAACCCCGTCAAGGCCCAAGAAGAATGCTTCACAGGTGCATGGACCCTTAGGGTTTCTAAGGAAGCTCCAGAAACTGATTCGGGAACCTCGGATTCCTGTTTAAGAGGGCGGATTCCTGTTGAGGGTTTAGGGTTTAGGGTTTCCCGCAGGCCCTAGTAGGGACCAGACAAGGGGTCCACAAAAAGACACAAAGCTGCTGCTTGAAAAGCTTCAGCCCTTCTATGCCCTTCTGCAACAACAACACAAATACACAAAGGGTTTAGGGTTTAGGGTTTAGGGTTTAGGGTTTAGGGTTTAGGGTTTAGGGTTTAGGGTTTAGGGTTTAGGGTTTAGGGTTTAGGGTACCGAACCCTCGTCTTGCCCTGGCGTTAGGGTTGAAAAGAAGCGAGGGAGAGGGCCGGTGGCATTGGCAAAAATCCCTGAACCCTAAACCCTAAACCCTAAACCCCTAAACCCTAAACCCTAAACCCGAAACCCTAAACCCTAAACCCTAAACCGGGTTGCTAGTTCCGGCTTGTATAGGGCTCGGGTTGAGTGTGTAGGGACTTCTCCCGGCTGGTACCGTAAATCCGAGGTCCCTACATGTAGTTGGTGGTGTAGCAGCCCGTGTTCCTTGGTCGGTAAGGGAATTAGGGTTTAGGGTTTAGGGTTTAGGGTTTAGGGTTAGGGTTTAGGGTTTAGGGGTTGTGGCATTTTTAGGGATGTAGGGGATTCAGCGGTTGCGCGGCCAACATACCATGTCGTACCTACTCCTAAGGGTGGCCCAGGGTTTAGGGTTTAGGGTTTAGGGTTTAGGGTTTAGGGTTTAGGGTTTAGGGTTTAGGGTCAATCGGAACTAAAAACGCGCGGATTAAAAAACTGGAGAAGCGGATCTCGGAAAACTGGAACATGCACATTCGGGAAAATGGAAGCCACCGCGCACACCTTCCTGAATCGTGTGGATTTGAATGGTCTGGTTTTCTGGATGGTGTAGTCAGTGTAGTCCTAAGGGTCATGAATCTCGTGGTTCCCTGAATGAATCGCATGAAACAAGTTTCCTGAATCGCGTAGAGTTCCTGAATCCTGGTGTTCCAACTCCTGGTTTCCGGCATCGCTGGCAGCAACAAAAAGAAGCATGCATGGCTTTCGGCTTCTGCTTCGGGACCCGTATCCTGTGCCGCCCTTGTAGGTTTCATAAACGCAGGTGGAGCCAAAAGGGCTATTAATGAAGCTCTGGAGTGCTCCTTTGAGGCTAAAGGTCTAAGCCAACAGTGAAAACCAACATACAGCCTAAGCTTCTGCAACTGGGTGTCGCATTGGCTGCGCCACCATTCTGCTTGATGAACTCATGGTACTCTCCTACGACTGACAGGCGCTCAACGTCGAAGACTGATTGCACCCGCAAGTTTGCAAACACGGACTGTGATTCGGACGTGAGGATCTGCACCCCCAAGAACCTCAACCACAACAAATGGCCACCAAGAAGAAGAAGAAGAAGCAGAGCGGCCTTCGACGGCTGGCACGCTGCTACCAAAACTCTTCCCCGTCCCGTCGACCAGGCGGCGTCGCAGAATCTCGACATCAGAACACAAACACAGGAGCTTGGAGACTTTCCAAGATATGGCCTGTACCCAGATGCCCTCAACCCTCGGATCCATCCTTCTTTGGGGTACTTCTTGGTACCCGTGAAGAGCATGTGCTCGAGGAAGTGCGCCAGGCCGGGAAGATCTTTTCCTTGGAGGGCACACCCTGAACCCTAAACCCAAAACTTTAAACCCTACGCCCTAAGTTCTAGAACCCTCAACCCTTCAATCCTGAACCCTAAAACCCTAAAGCCCTAACACCCTAGCTAACCCCTAAACACTGAACCCTAAACCCTAAAACCTCAACACCCTAAAGCCTAAACCCGACCCTAAACCCTGAACCCTAAACCCTACACCCTAAACCCTAAACGGCCCTAAACCCTAAACCCTAAACCCTACACCCTCAGTAGGGCTTAGGAGCAACCCCGAAACCTAATACTGCGAGTTGACTCATGCCCAAAGCTGAAAGTCAGGGCTTCGGGTTGGTGATTTTGGGGTTCGGGTTTAGGGCGCACTTATAACATAAAATTCATGCGTGTCGCGATGATATTATATTTAAAGGGGCTTTTCTTCGCGAGAGAACACTATGAACACGGAGGTAACAACCATACCAGCTTCGTGAAGAGAACCACCCTTGACAGCCCACATCCCATTATAAGACCCGGGTTTCTATCTTATGGTCTAGGAATAAGCCTAATGAATGAATCCTTGAACTGGGGCGTTTCGTTCATGAGTTCACTTGTTACGTTCATACAATTCATGCGCTTCACTTATAATTGTATTCTCTTCACAGGTTCACTCAATCTCTTCACTATATCCACCATTCAGACGCTTCCTCACACTCGAAGACTCATTCATCACACCTTTGTAAGCGAACCTGGGAACTTTTGCGTTGCTTGGGTTATTTAGGAGACACTCAGGTTACCTGGGTCACTCGGGACACTTGGGTCACTTGAAATGGCGTGAGCCTTCTTTGGGCTCTTGGGTTATTTAGGTCACTTTGTGACACTCAAGACATACGTTGGTGTCAATTGGGCGTTTGGGCACACGCGGGATCGGACGTTGAGGTCATCTGGGCACTTGGGTCATCACTTAAGCTACTTTTTGATACGCAAGCAACTTGGTCGGGGCACTTGGCTCACTTCACAGAGGCCTCGCAGGACATTTTCGCAGCCAGTTGACTTGCTGGTCAAAGACAAACTGTGCCGACAGGGCTCGGCCACTTGGGGCGGGTCAACTGTGCGGACAGGTGGGCTCTGTCAGTTGGGGCCCCACACACCACCAGGGGGAAGTGTTTTGAGGGACACACTGCGCCGACAGGGGAGCAGGCTTTAGCGATTAAGGGCTTAGGGCCTTCGAGTTTAGGGAATCGGGCTCGCGGTCCGTTCATGAAGGACTCGATCATTGTAGCAGTTACCTATACAGGCGCCCTGAAATGTCAATGAACAATAACCCCCAACCAAAACCCTAGACCCGGAACACTAAACCTAAGCGCCCCCTCTACAGACGCCTTGCTGCCGCGGATCTCTCGTAGCACATTCCCACCTAGGCTCGGCTGTTGCTAGAGCCCGACACACTGGGATACCGAAACCTTGGGGATGAGGTTTTGAACTTAAGGTCTTGCTTTTCCACACATAATATGGGATGATGGTAAATTCGTACTTCACGAGAGTTTTTTCGCTACCTTGGTCACGGTGAAGTTCCTTGGACCTCCCTCTACAGGAGTCGGATGACTTGAGTGGTAGCTCCCCTGAGGCATTCCCACTCTACTTTTCTTAGGGTTTTGGGGGTTGGGGGTTTAGGGTTTAGGGTTTAGGGTTTAGGGTTTAGGGTTTAGGGTTTAGGGTTTAGGGTTTAGGGTTTAAGGTTCCAGGCAGCTTTGGATCCGATGCCCTTGCGAGGCGGGGTGGGGCAAGGAGTTGGCGCCCTGGATCGGCAGGACGTGGGGTGTCCATAGACCCCCGAAACCCCGAAACACGCCCAGAACACCCCCAACACACAGCCTGAACCCTACAAACCCCGAAGCTCCGAAGTCCTCCCATACTTGTGGGGACTTTTTCGGGAGAATGACGACCCTGAGAGGGCCACAATGCAGACCCCACTCCCTCAACAAAAAAACTTCGGAGGCTTTCGGGGATCAGGATGAAGGGTTCAGGGGTCCCCATGTATAGAAACTTAGAGGGCTTCTCGAACCCGAGGTCGGGGGTGTTGGGGCTCAGGGTTTAGGGTTTAGGGTTTAGGGTTTAGGGTTTAGGGTTTAGGGCTGTAGGGCCATTCCTTTCAGGCACTGCACCATGGAGATCCACAATGCTTGCAAAAACAAAGCGCTGAGCACACCCAACTCCCACCAAAAGCAGCATATGGACATATGTGTATACATATATATATATATATATATATGTTCATTTATGTCTTTATTTGCTTGTTTGTTCATTTGTTCATTTCTATTTCTATATAAATATATATATATATGAGTTTATATATATATATATGTGAAGCAATTCTTCCAAGGGCGCAAGTTGAAGGCAGTGAGAAACGGGGTTTGGGCTGGAATTAACTTGAAAAAAATCCGGTCACCGAGTTTTGGCACTTCTCGGGCTGTGCCGTGGGTCGGGTTTCTGCAAATGCTGGCGACCGGAGCGCCCGATTTACAAGGTCTCACTTCACAAGTCCAGTATTGCAGTCCTCTTCGCAAGCCACGAATCAAGTTGTACAACACCTGCGAATCCAACCCTTCCTATGCCATGCAGACATCCCCATCACCGTGCGCGCTCGCACCTGGGATGTTCTTTTCCTCATCCAAGCGAAGCTCTCCACCTCAGCCTTCATTCGGGCATCACGCCGTTTATCGGCGTGATCAGGATTTCAGCCTCGCGGAGAACCACAGTAAGCGAGTCGCCATCATTGAGGCCACACTGCAACAGGGTGTGAGCGTGCTGGAGACGCGTCGTGTTGTACAGCAACTCCACGACCTGACCCTCCGCCCCAGGAATGGCCTTTCTGACCGACTCTATCACCTGAGAGACGGTGTTCTTCCGCTGGACGACCAGGGGGGTGCAGTCGCCGGATGGCTGAAGCAGCCGTAGCTCGATTGTCTCATCTCGCTCGGCCATGGCTGCTGTGGGCAGACTGGCCTGTCTTGGAGACTCTGCGATCGTCACCCGACTGCGCGACGTTTTAGCTTGAAGGTATAAGAAAGCACCAGCAGTAGGACTACGTACTGCCTAGTGGGCCACTGGGGGGTGGGGGAGGGGGGAGCATGTAGATGGTGAACTTGCGGCCACACCTGTCCGGGCCATTAGATGACCTAGCCTGCGGTGGCGGCGGTTGATCAATGCAGCAACATCGCGTGCTCTGCTAGGTGTGGCTGGGAATGTTAAGCGGAAAAAAGGGGTATAAGGAGGAAACCCCAGAAGGGAGCCCTAACTTTATTGCTCTTTCTAACCCCTATACAGTCCCTATAAACCTAAGTAGCCCCTGAATAATCCCTAAGTCCCTTTTTAGAGTCCCTCCTTTAGTCCTTGAGTATGGCATGAGTATGGGTCTTCTGGTGATCCTTGCGTGGGTTTTCGAGGTCTGGCTCTTGCTATGGCCCATGCTCGGGTTCTCTAGCAGTTACATGTGCGAGCAGTTGCGAAGTACCACTCCCCCAGTCTCCTCAAGCCCTACAGAACCACCTCTTCAAAACCCGAAGCCCTAAACCTCTCCACCCGTTAAACTCAAAAACCCTGTTAAAGCAACAAAAATCCTAAACCCTAAGCCCCCAAGAAACCTTTTGAAAACAAAATCCTCAGCCCTGAGCGCCCAAGAAGCCTTTCAAAACAAAATCCTAAGCCCCCCAAAACCCCAAAACCCTAAACCCCAAACCCCAAACCCTAAACCCCAAACCCTAAACCCGAAACCCTAACACCCGACCCCCCAACCACAAAAGAATGGAAGCTGAGGGAGCCCACGTTGACGGTCAGGGCTGCACCCGCCTTGTCACACTTGGGGTCCGAGCCGACCACCACCTCGGCTCTTAGGGCCTTTTAGGGTTTAGGGTTTAGGGTTTAGGGTTGAGGGTTGAGGGCTTAGGGTTTAGGGTTTAGGGTTTGGGGTTTGGGGTTTAGGGTTTAGGGTTTAGGGTTTAGGGTTTAGGGTTTAGGGTTTAGGGTTCAGGGCTTCAGGGCTTCAGGGCTTCAGGGCTTCAGCTTGCTTTGGGGCTTTACAGGGGGGAGCGAGGGCTTTGGAGGCTTTTGGGGGTTGAGGCCTTTAGGGGTTTTGGGTTTTAGGGCCTCTGAATGCGAAGGACAGCGCGGGTTTAGGGTTTGGGGTTTGGGGTTTGGGGTTTAGGGTTTAGGGTTTAGGGTTTAGCGTCTAGGGTTTAGGGTTGTATGCCGAAGCCGCTCTGAGCGCATTGGGCAGTTCGAAGAACGCGTAGTCGCGACCTGGGCTTCCACCAGCCGGGACGTTGGGGTCTACGATTCAAGGCTGCAAGGCGACACCAGGTCCCAGAACCTTAACTTAAGGGGTATAGGGAGAGACACCTAGAAGGGACCCTTAATCTTACTCCCCCATGTAATCAAATAACTATTGGGGTCCCTTATAAGGGTCCCTCTCTTAGTCCCTTGATCAAACTAAGCACCCAAGCCCCAAGAACCCTGAAACCCCAAAACCCCGAAACTCAAAGCTTCCGAAACCCCAAAGAACCGAGAGCCCCAAAAAGCAGTCTGCCTGAGTCGCACAAAGGCGAGGGCTTACAAGTGCGGGAGTACACGCGCCTATGTGTAAGAAACCCTAACCCCCAAACCCCAAACCCTAAACCCTAAACCCCAAACCCTAAACCCTAAACCCTAAGCCCTAAACCCTAGTAAGAAAATGCCCTGAACCCGAACTACACCGTAAGGAGACCCACAGGCTTGGAAACCCCTGCAACTTGAGATCCCCTGCGGGGTCTACTGAACCCCAAGAAGGCCTTCAACCCCCTGAAGCCCCCTAAGCCCTAAACCCTAAACCCTAAACCCAAAACCCTAAACCCTAAACCCAAAACCCTAAACCCTAAACCCAAAACCCTAAACCCTAAACCCTAAACCCCTAAGCCCCGAGGGTCGGACTGAAGCCCCAAACCACCCCCCGGATCTCAAAAAACTCGAAAGATCCCCAAGGCCTAAACCTGAAAAGCAATAACTAGAGTTATGACAAGTGCTTTAGGGTTTTGGGGATTTTGAGCCTTCAGGCGTTTAGGGTGCTTAGGGCTTGGGGCTTTTCCGGGAGCACAAAATGTTGGAGAAAGCCTTCAGGGCCGTGTAGCATCTGTCTAAGGCTGCTGCGATGGGTGTCGGGTTTTCGGATCTCGACCGACATGGCCGTGTGGATTCAATGCTTGAAGGAGTGGTCGTTAGGGTTTAGGGTTGAAGGTTCAAGGCCCTATCTGTTGAGGATGTGGGAGCGTCAAAAACAAATCGCATGTTCAGAGCAAGAAGGGCAGGAGCTGTTGACTCTGCATCTGTGCGCCTTGCTGACATCGAGATGCGTTGTTTCCAAGCTGTGCTGCGCTACTATGCCTACGGGTGCCATGGATGCTACAGCTCTGCGGCTTCGCGCTGTAGCAACCAAACAAGCTAAGCATTGAGCACGAAATCGCGTGGATGATGGAGATACAAGAATGCCGCACCCGGAACAGTGCCAGGAATACCTACTTGCTTTGTCTGGCTTCGGGGCCTTTGGGCGTTGGTTGTTCAGGCTGCAGAGATGCCAGGGCAGAGGGTGGCGGAGGTACTCAGGGTATGTTTACAGGCCTAGGATCTCTCTACAAAGTATAAGAGGAGGGGGGGGGGTTCGGAACAGGGCTTTCGTGCCGCGCCCCGGTAGCAGGGCTGGAGGCTCATGTCATGGATACTCTAGCTGCGAATATTGTGAATGTGTTTGGATATTTGGATATTTTGTGATATTTGTGACCTCTTTTTTTTGTGGGGGGGGAGGGGGGGGGCGTACTGGCAACCTTGCTTAGCAGCTACGCATGAACCTTCAAGCACACACCCTTGCATGATGCTCGGGGGTGGGAGCTTGTAGATGCGAAAATACCGCCTCGGGGGTTCCATCCTTCGGCTTGGGGGAAGGGCTTGGAAGTTTGGTGTCTAGGGTTTAGGGGGTCCCCCTTTGCACGTGCTGGTCACCGTTATCAGAAGCCACTTAAGACACAGCTCCTAGAAAGGCCACGAGATCCAGATACTTTATAGTATCTTTATAGTGCAAAGCCCAAGCAGTCTGACTTTTTGTGCGACTGCCATCTGCCTCACGGGACTTCAGTGCAAGCGTCAGCGTGTTCCGCGTCTGCGCTTCCACAATGAAGTCGCCATGCTTGCAAAGGACCTGCGCGCAGAGCCTCGGACGGTGCGTCAAATGTCAGGCCGGCGAAGGCTTTATCATAAGAGCACAAAAGAAAAGAATACTATAACTATAACTTATAACCTTAACAAAATAATGTTCTAAGAATATAAGAGTGGTTTGCTGCCTGTTCCGGGGTCACAAAGGAGGGAGGGCCAGGAGACATCCGTGGATCGATTTGTGGAGCCTCCTTCATGGCTATAGAGTTCTTAAGGGAGGGGGCTTGAAGGGCTAAAGTTCCCTAGGTAATTATCCCCCACGAACCCCCCTCACTTAAGAACTGAAGGCGAGGTGACTATATCCTACCCGGCTGCCGACGGGGGGGCCTTTAAATGGGGAGGCCGTATACACCCCTTAATACACCCTCTCCCGTTTGTCAAGGTGAGGGACCGGATTAAGGGACATGCAACTTCCCTTGAGACAACAAGCAGGAGTCACTAACATGCCCAAAGATGCTAGGCCCCAAAAGGGATCTCACGGCAAACATCTCCGAGCGGCTGCGTCTCCCCCGTGGGCAGTTGAAGCACCAGCTTGCCCCCAGGAGCGAGGAGAGGGTGGAGCTGCGCAATGCTCACCAGGATCGACCTTGCTTCGGGTTTTCCAATGGAAGTTTCCGAACTTGGGGGTAAGTTTAATTAGGGTCCCTGTTCTAAGGGAATCCTACTGTTTGGGGGTCCATATTTGGGGGATCCCTCATAAGCCCCCGGACATGTTTAAGGACAGCACATTAGTGTTGACTGCAAATCTGAACTAGTCCGATTCTTGCATGGGGACAGAGTTGTACTTCCATGCCATATCCCATACAGCTCAAGCCAACTGTCCACGGATGCAGCGATCCGACTCCTACGTGCAGATCCTTCGGCACAGACGAACCCCAGACCACGAATTGAGAGCTTACTATCTGCTTCCCACCGCGGGCCTTATCTCGGACTGCAGAAACACTGCAAAATGAAACCTGCCCAAGTGATGTCGAGGAGCCCGGACGCGTCTTGCTTCAAGTCCTGGTGGTAGCTTCGCAGGCGTTGCGCGCTATCGGGTGAGTAGGGAGGATTGGCAAGGATGACGTCGTAGGCCTCGCGCCTGGAAGCCACGAGCTCCCGAAGATCGCCGACTTCACAGACCACTCGCTCTTCGAGATGGTGAAGCTTGGCGTTCTCTTTGGCCAGGCTCACGGCCGCTTGGCTAATGTCAATCCCAATACCCAGGGCAGTTGAATGCTGCTGAAGCAAAGGCAGCAGCGCATTCCCGACGCCGAGGGTCACATCCAAGATCCGAAGAGTGCGTCGAGCGAAAATCCCCAGCTGCATCACCACCTCCACCAGGTGGCGGCTCTCTGCCCGTGGAACAAAGACATCCCTGTGCAGCTTGAAACGCATGCCGAAGAAGTGCATGGTTCCAGAGCCGTCAGACTCAAACAGCTGGCCCGAGGTAAGGACACCCTTGTAGCGACCAAGGCGCTCGGCATCCAAATCTAGCATGGCTCGCAGTCCTTGGATTCGCTTCCGAGGCTGGCGACAAAACCTGCTCCGCAACAAAAATTTCCTGCTGGACCCAGAACCTCAACCCCTCCCTCCTCGGCAAAAAAATATACTCAAACAAACAAAAAGGGAATCCGGGAGTCTTTGGGGAGGCCGCACCTCTGCAGCGACTCCACAACACCTCGCGCGGCGGCAAAAACAAGGTTTTGGGCCAAGGGCCTCAACCAATCCTTCAACCCTCAACCCTAGCCCTTCGACCGTAAACCCCAATGCTCCCAACACCCCCGGCACCCCTAAGCCACCACATCACGAAAGAAAGCACCCCAAACCCCACCTGAGCCCCCAAAACCCTACAAACCCCCAATCCCAAACCCCAAACCCCAAATCCTGATTCCTAAACCCTACACCCCTAAGACTCTGAACCCTAAACCCTAAACCCTGAAGCCCACCTCAGGCCCACGATGGTCACCTGCGCGTTCCACGCCTTGCCGCCGCCAGGGCCTCGAATCGGATGCCCCAGCTCCGTCACCGTTCTCCGGAGCCTCGTTAAGCAGGGCACGCTCTTTAGGGTTTAGGGTTTGGGGTTAGGGGTTCAGGATTTTAGGGCTTTATAGGGGCTTTGGGGCCCAATAGGGTTTATTTAGGGCTTAAGGGGCTTGCAAAAAAAGTTTACATAGGGGACTCCCTCGGCCTCTCGGTCCTTTCCCTTCTCGAGGGAGGATGCGAAGCTCTTTTGCGCATCCCGAATGCCTTTCAGCCCTGAGTCCCCTGAACCTTCCGAGGTGCCGAAGCCCAACATGCTTCAATCGCAAGCCCAATACTTCTTGGTACTATGACTGAGTCATGTGAGCATGCTTTCTGCTTTTGCCACGACGTACCTCAAAGACCCCTAAACCCTAAACCCTAAACCCTAAACCCTAAACCCCTAACCCCTAAACCCCAAACCCCAAACCCCTAAACCCCAAACCCTTGAGTCCAAAAGGCCTTGCCACCGCCTCCTCCGCCGGCCCTTCCACGCGAGCGCGCGCGAGGCTCAGCAGGCCATGTCGGAGACCTCGCCCGGTTTAGGGTTTAGGGTTTAGGGTTGAGGGTTTAGGGTTGAGGGTTGAGGGTTGAGGGTTGAGGGTTGAGGGTTGAGGGTTGAGGGTTGAGGGTTGAGGGTTGAGGGTTGAGGGTTGAGGGTTGAGGGTTGAGGGTTGAGGGTTGAGGGTTGAGGGTTGAGGGTTGAGGGTTGTTGTGGATGAAGGGGTAGAAGGAGGGACCCCTAGAAAGGACCCTTAATCCTATTCCCCCTTTTCTCATCCCTATATTATACATATGGGTGGTTGTCAATATTCCTTCTTCCAGGAACGGCGGATGCTGAAAAACTCATGGTGCCGCCTTATGCCGAGAAGGAAAACGAAGGTCTGGAACGATGGCTTTGGCAAGTACAGAAGTGTAGTACTAGTTCTTGTCGCAAAACACACTAGCGCCTTCATTTTAAGACTCAGGCATCGTCTTCGGAACTACTGGAGCTACTTGAGCTCGAGCTAGTCGTGTTTGAGCTATCGCTTAGCGATGTAGCACAAGCGGGCAACTTTTTCTTCTCCTCATTGCTCAGGATATCACCTGCCAGCTCTTCCAGGTTGGCCATGTTTCAAATCCGCTGTCTTAGTACTGCTTTTATGTCTTGGATGGACAAGTTGTCACCGCAAGCAGTTTCCCTACATATTTGCTAGCGCGATGCTAGCGCCAACCTAGCGCATATTTCGCCTCATGACTTTAGAGTTTTGGCACGCCGGCAGTATGCATCAGGAGCAAACACTGCAGCGAGTTACCTCCCACTTAATCCTGAACCCTGCAACTAGAATTGAGGGTTTAGGGTCTAGGGTACCCGTTTTCCCCTAAACCCAGAAAGCCCCGAACCCTAAACCCTAAACCCCAAGCATGAAACCCCAAAGCCTCTCACATCCCTAAACCCTAAACCCTAAACCCTAAAATGTTAGCTTTTGGAAAGGAACACCTAGCGCCACGCTGGCGCTATCCTAGCGCCTACATGGGGGAGAGCCTGAAACCTGCATATACGCATGGTGCCGCCTTGTGGCGAAGACATAAACCAGCAAGAGCGGAACTTCATATCGCACTTCCATCATATTTTACACACATGGTATTTTGACGTCCACCCATATGCCTAAGTAGCCCCTGGGAGGTTGCTGTGGAGCCTGAGGGGGGAGCTGAGGGTGGGTAGAGCACCCTAAGCCCTAGACTTGGGATGATCCCCCTTCCACTAGCAATCCTTACTTGGGATTGAAATAGGGGGGGATTTTAATCCCTATGAAGGAGTGTTCTGTTAGTACACGGGGGGGAAGACCCTACACTCCAAGCAAGAGAGGCCCCGCCTCTGGAAGAGCGCAACACCTCCAGGCGGACTCCTTGCCGACGCGCCTGGCAACAGGCTGCCTCCTGTAGAAATCGGCGGCGGGAGCTCGAGAACGCTGACGTGTTTTGAGGACTTTAAAAAAGCCCTCAACTTCGCAAGCTTCCAAGCCCAAACCTCTGACCCTTATGCTCCCCTCTTTTCGCCCCGGCCCTTCCGCTCTAAACCCCTAAACCCTACACCCTAAACCCTAAACCCTAAACCCTAAACCCTAAACCCCCTTGAGCTCAACCCCTTGAACCCCCAAACCCTATAGAACCCCTCAACCATATCAACCCGCAAACCCCATAAGAACCCCCCAAAAAACCCTACAAGTACCCCGCGCCTAAACTGCCCAAAACCTTCTTCCCCCACCCCTAAACCCTAAACCCTAAACCCTAGACCCTAAACCCTAAACCCTAAACCCAAAACCCTAAACCCCCACTCCTCAGGAGCCCCCTCCACAAGAAAGCAGCAGCTGGTGCGCAGCTCCCCTTCCAGGCGCCCGGGCTCCGAGGCCAGGAGGCTCAGGCCTCCCGCCGCGCCGAGCCTGGACCGGGCTTTCCGGTTGTGCGCTTTAGGGGTGGCGAGGCTTTGGGGTTTAGGGTTTGGAGGGGTTGAGGGTTGAGGGTTGGAAGTAAAAAATTGAGGGTTGAGGGTTGAGGGTTGAGGGTTGAGGGTTGAGGGTTGAGGGTTGAGGGTTGAGGGTTGAGGGTTGAGGGTTGAGGGTTGAGGGTTGAGGGTTGAGGGCTGAGGTATGGGTTCAGGTCTTGGTGCTGATGTGTGGCTTCAGGGTGTCTAAAGCGGGCTTTCTAAGTTGCATTGCAGCTCGGAGGTTGCGCTGTGAGTGTTCGTGCCGAGGGCGCCGAGCCCAATCCTCAATCCTTCACGCAAGCATCCAACAAACACCAAAAAAGCTCAAGTTGGGGAGGGGGGGTATCCCAAACTTGGATTTTCGGGTGCAGGGCATGCCTCCTTCATCATAGAAGCCCATTTAAATGGGAAAACCCCCCCCCCCACAACTTTTCACACAACCCCAAGTCTGTCCTCTCCAGGGCTTCTATTACGACCTCTGCCCCTTGCACCTTCGGGCCTAGGGGTTGAGGGGCTTAGGGTTTTAAGGTTTAGGGTTTTGGGGGTTTGCGGTTTACGACTCTAAGGCTTGAGGGACTTAGAGTTGATAAGGATCCACTCCCACCTGAAGGACGGCACCAGCTCAACAGGCAGGTCAGATTGTCTTTGCCACTCGTCGTTGACCCATGAGATGAAGTCGTTCTTTCCCTTTCTCCTCGCACAGGCCACCACCCCGAAATGCTTCAACACAGCCTGACGTTCTAAACCTTAAGAATCGTCTAAGCCCTAGATGCATCTCAACAAATGTCGTGAAGCTCTCCGAAATCAAAGTAAACCCCTTCCTCTTATTTCTCTTGTTGAAGTCATCCTAGTGGCTCCGAGATGATTTCTTCTTGCTATGTGTGTGTGGTGCTTGCGGGCTGAATCTTATGTTTCAATTCACACACTGACTCTTTCACTCGCGGTTCAAGGTCCACGGAGCATGTACGAGTGAGTACATCATTGGAGCGCAAGCGAATGCATGGAGTGCAAGATTGAGCGAGCACGCTTGTCGAGCGAGCAGGAGAGTAAGCAACCGATTGGGCGAGTGAGAAAGTGCGTTGAGTGAGTGACTGCCTGGCTGATGAAGTCAAGGAGTGAGTTAGAGTGGAGTGTGGCAGGGAGTGAGTGACGAAATGGCGTGTGGGCAAAAGCATGCCTAAGCCCCAAAAGACTCCCACCATCAGCCCCCCCAAAACCCCCAAACCCTCAACACCTCTTCGTCGCCTTGGTTGATCCGTCCAACCCTCGGGCTTCCAGGCCAAAGCCAGGGCATCCGGCTCCTTAGGAACTTTAGAGTGTAGGGTGGGTGTGAAAAGTTTTGGGGGATGTCAGGGCTTTTGCGAGGGGTTGGGGGTGTTCGGGCACGAGAATTTTGAGGCTTGAGGAGTGGCCTTCGGGTCAGTTGGCACCCTCCCCTTCTACCAAGGAGTGCCCTGGCTCAGTTGCGGGATGCCTGGTGACAAACAAGGTAACAAAATATGGGTTGGGATGTTCCCCCTTCTAAACAGTCCTTAATAGAGGGGGAACATCCCAAGATATGGGGCTTGTAGAGTCTATATAGGGCTTAGGAGGCTGTTATGGGGCTTTTAGGGTTTAGATATGGGCTGATATTGGGTCTATAGGGGCTTAAGGGGCTTTGGGGTTCTGCGCTTTTCGCCGAAAGCTTGCAATCTACCAGCCAAGGGTCAGATTGGCTGGCCAGGATGCGCGGCCTGCTCTCGTCAAAGCACCTTCTCCTTGCCCTCCGCCCGGACAGCCAGCACGACCGACATCCCATTCCGCCTGCCTTGGGTCTGAAGGCGTGTGGGGGCTTCCGAAGATGGGGGGGGGGGGGTTACCGTACCCTTTTTTGGGGGTCCGCTTTTGGGGATTCTATTCTATTTGGGGCATGAAAGGGGTACCCCGCCATTTTGGGGCAAGCCCACCCCAGGCGAAACACAAACCCCAAACTCCACACACCCCGGAACCCCAAAGGCCACCAAAAGTAAGAAACCCTAAACCCTAAACCCTAAACCCTAAACCCTAAACCCTGAAGCCTAAACAAAAAAAAAAAAAGGGAACCGAGCTGCGATCAGCGCAAGGCACGGGCTATTCTGGCCCTTCGGCAGCTGGAGCTTTGCCACAGGATTCCCGGGCTCTGCAAGAGGCGCCGGGGGAAGGAAAGCCCCATGGCGCCACGAGTGTCGCAGAAAGCAAGACATGGCTGGGTTTTGGGGTTTAGGGGCTTATGGTTTGGGGTTTTAGGGGTTAGGGCTTAGGGCTTAGGGCTTAGGGCTTAGGGCTTGGAATGATAAGGGCAGCGAAGAAAGATGGTCTTGCGGGTTGCTACACGTGCCAACAAACTTGATTTATCGAGTCGGCGGATGCTGTCGCTTCCCTTTCCAAAAGAATCTTCTCCACAACAGACTTAGGGGTTTCGGGTTTAGGGTTTAAGGGTTAAGGTTTAGTGTTTAGGGTTTAGGGTTTAGGTTTTAGGGTTTTTCAACCCGCTGCCACCCCCTGGTGAACTGTGCTGCAGCATCGGTTGAAGCGCAGACTCAGAGAGGGCGTGGAATCGAGAAAGCAGCACAAAATCCAAGCACAGTGAACCTTCGATTCACCCCGGCAACAGAACAACCACGTCGCATTTTGAAAGTAAATTCACACCAGCGCTCAGCGAGAGGAACTCGGGGAGTTCAGGCCCCAAACCCTGAGCCCAAGCCCTAAACCCTAAACCCCGTTGCAACGGGTTTCGGGTGGGGCTTCTGGGCTCACATAAGGTTTGAGAGGCCCAAACCCGAGCCCTAACACTTGGGGCCTTCAACCCCTCAATCCTAAACACTATATACATAATTATCAACATGAATATGAATCACAATGTTTGTTAATATATATATACTTGAAAAAAACCCTGAAACCCGAAAAAAAGCCTTCAACCCCTTCGCCCTGCGAAGTGCAAAAGCCGACACCAGGCGAGCTTGGTTTTGCCAGGGCTCGCCATTCTTGCCGCTGGTTGCTTCAGGATCCTACAGACATAAAAGGCTTAGGACAGGCAGCGGAGAAGCACCAGATTCCCATTTTGGCTGGGGAGCCCTCTGGGGAAATTTCTCCGATTCTGTGCTGAAAGCGGGCTTTCGAGCCATGTTGGATGGACCCTGGGAGTGGAGGCCCTGTTGCAGGATGCTGGAATCGAGGCATGATGATACGAAGAGACGATGGCCATGGCAGGGCCATGGCAAGGGCTATCACTACCCGGATTTAGGGGTTTAGGGTTTAGGGTTTAGGGTTTGGGGTTTAGGGTTTCGGGTTTAGGGTTTAGGGTTTAGGGTTAGGAGTTTAAGGTTTGGATTTCTTGCACACTTTGCTGAGCCGCAGCGGCCTACCACGTGGCACCTGCGCAGTAGATGAAACTCTCTTTCTTCCGGGAGGCTGCAATCGCAACATGCGCACATGGCCTAAGACAACCCTGCTCCTTCGAAGCAGTTCAGGATGATGGCATTATGTTACAATATTCCATGATAAGATACCATATCATACTGTGATACACTACACTATACTACAATATACTCTCCCGATTAGACTATGATACACTACACTATACTACACCATACCATACAATAAGTGTGAGTATGGGGCGTTCAGCTTCCGCAGCCTGGCCCCTTCCAGACCCTCATCGCTTCTCAACTTCCACCTCGTACTTGTCCCCGAGGATCCGGATGGGAATGTTCACCCAGCCTTCCCAGACGAGGTCCGACTGCAGCTTCGTAGCTGTAACGCATCAGACTCATAATGACAATCAGATTCATGACGCTGCTTTAGTAGGAGCAAGAACAAGAATAAGAGTAGGTTGGTGTCTTTGGCATGCGTTAGCTCGATCTCTCCTCCAAAAGGCCTAAAAACTCCCCCCTCGGCCATAACAGCCCGAAATACACAGACTCAGGCCCCCTTCTGCACCTGATACATGAAACTTACTCTTGATTGGTAGGGACTGGGGGGACGAGGTACCCTATAGAATCCCTTAAAGGGGAAAAAACAGGGAACCTCATTCCCTCATTCCCTACTAGCCAACAGTACGGAAACCTCCAACCGAGGTTGTTCCGGGCGGTGCCTTCCTTGCCTTCGCTCCCTCTTGCTGGCCGCCAACTGGAGAATCGCTGGACGAAGTCTGCCAAAAACGCCTCAACTTCGCTCCAGGGTCTAGCCTGTGGGGTATATCTTACGGTGTATTGTCAGGTTCCTGGTTTAGACCTCAGGGTTTAGGTAAGACTTTTGAAGTTTAGGCCTTGGGGTATGTTTTACGACTCAACGCCCTGGGTTCAGGGTGGAACTTGCTGGGCTTTAGCCGGCAGAAGCGGTTTAAGCAATCGGCTCTTGGGTTTGCATAGGTCCCTTTAGGGTTTAATATGGGCGGTCTTGGCAATTGAGTGTTAAATTAGGGTCAGATAAGTACTGGGGTATGATAAAAACAAAATGGACCTCCAAGGTCTCAGCTGTCTTTCAGTAGGTATTCTGACTAAGTTCTTGTGGCGAGTAGACTGCGCATCATGCATCTATGAATCAAAACGCTTTGCGCGGCTCCACCATATCTCACTGTCTTGCTATGTTGCCACAGAGCTTCGATAGTTGCAGAACTGTGCTGCTGCGCAACATGCTTGGTATCGGAAGTCGGAAGCCCAAAATAAGTTCCGACACTACCAGATTGGCTGTCATCTGGCACATGCTCTAGACCCCAAACCGCAAACCCTAAACCCCTAAACTCTCAACCCTAACCCCTAAACCCTAAACCCTAAACCCCTAAACCCCTAACCCCTAAACCTCTAAACCGCTAAACCCCTAAACCCCTCAACAGTAAACCCTAGACGAAGGCCTTGGAGATGATCATGGCCAACGGGATGCCGGGGCAGCCGTGAAGGCCGATACCACCAGGGAACCAGGTACCCTGCGAGGGTTTAGGGTTTAGGGTTTAGGGTTTCGGGTTTAGGGTTGAGGGTTTAGGGTTCAGGGTTTAGGGAGGGGGGGGGGGGGGGCGGGGGTTTGTAGGGATGTGGGCTATTTTTGGAGGTCAGGGTTTAAGATGGTTTTTCAGAGTTTGGGGTTCAGGGTTTAGGGTTCAGGTTGAGAGCGGAGTCTGGGTGCTCGGAGCATCCGAGAACTTGCAGGAAACCTAGAACCCCTCAACTCCAAGCCCGGAAACAGCCGGGCCTTTGGCAAGGACTGGGCCGGGCGCTCCGCAAAGCGATCTGGGTTGAAGCTCTCCGGCATGGCGTGGAGCGCGGGGTCCTCGGCTGCGCGTTTTTGTATGGGCTCCGGGTGTAGGAGCTAGGTTTTTGGGGTTTAGGGTTTAGGGTTTAGGGTTTAGGGTTTAGGGGTTTTTAGGGAGGGTTTAGGGTTTTAGGTCTGGGTTTTCGGCTTCGGTTTGAGGTTGGGGTTTGGGTTTAGGGTTTTAGGGTTTTGGCAATACACAGATAGGCACATACATACGTACCTACGTAGATAGGTAGGTGGGTAGGTAGCCAGGCAGACAGGTAGGCAGGTATGTACACAAACAATCTGCATTTGTTTCTGTGTTACTTACCTGTTTCTTTTGATTTGTAGGGGTATGTTTCTACTTCGTTCCTTATGGATTTAGCTATGCATACTGCTACTTGTTTAAGCAACCAGGCTTTATGTGTTACATGCATGCATGCGCATGTGCATACGTGCGCACATGCATGCATGCATGCGTACACAGCTTGTGGTCCGCAGGGTTAGGGAAAGAGGCACAGGACAAAGAGAGCGGGATGATTGCAAACACGCAACATGGCCTAGCCACAAATGCTCGTACATCGTCCGCGTAAGAACCCAATCTCGCATAGACGCACTAGACAAAGAGACACGCGTCGAGGCACATCAAGTCGTCAAACCATGAGGCTGTGCCTCTACACCAACATACAATCAGGAACAGAGACCTGGCTGAAACCCTAAACCCTAAACCCTAAACCCGAAACCCTAATAGGATATAACCGCAAAGAAGGGTACTGCCAGAATTGCACACACGCGTTCGGCATCCCAAGTGGATCCGAAGATCACCCCGGCACTGCATGTGCCTTGTCCCCAACATGCTGTTTTGCGTCCCTACCCGGCCCTACCCCCTGAACTGAAAACCCTGGACCCTACGCCCGGGGTTAGGGTTTAGGGTTTAGGGTTTAGGGTTTAGGGTTTAGGGTTTAGGGTTTAGGGTTTAGGGTTTAGGGTTTAGGGTTTAGGGTTTAGGGTTTAGGGTTTAGGGTTTAGGGTTTAGGGTTTAGGGTTTAGGGTCCCTGAAAACTGAACCTGGCAACTTCCTAACCAGTGGATCAATCTAAAAGCTGCCAGATGGATCGAGATGCCATGTTGGTAATGCGCGGATCCGCTGAGACCACGAAGCCTGCATCAGTCGTACTCGGGCAGGCCATGTCTGCAACAACTTAAGGGCTTTAGGAAGTTTAGGGTATAGGGTTTAGGCTTTAGGATGTAGGGTTTAGGGTATAGGGTTTAGGATGTAGGGTTTAGGGTATAGGGTTTAGGGTTTAGGATGTAGGAAGTTTAGGGTTGTCAGTGCGAGAGGTGCATCTTACTTCTGGGGCCTTTTGCTACGACATCGCAAAGCCATGGACGAGCAAAGGCCTTTGGGGATGCGGTACCCGGCAATTTCGATGTCCTCCTGGCCAAAATCAAGCTTGATGCCCCTTTGTTGAGCTGTGGACATATGTAGGCGGGGGGGTTCCTAAGATCAAGGGCGTTCATGTTTTTTGGGTTCCTTCCATCGACGATCCCAACACTTCATCTATCTTCTTGCGGTCCCCACGTTCTCAGAACTCCCAGAGGCAGAATGAAACCACCAGACGCAGTTCTGGACGAAGGGTGGTGTGTGCATGTCTGGCAGCCGCCCGCCATAGATGGGACCCTTAAGGGGATGCTGGGGTTCGAGCACCTCCTCTTCTTCCTGGTTGCGGACAAGGCTTGGGGCTTCCTGGTTCGGGTTCAGGATTTACCCTAAACCCTAAACCCTAAACCCTAAACCCTAAACCCTAAACCCTAAACCTTTAGGGGCTTTTGGGGGTCCTCTGCCAGACGGAATCCGCCCCCGCTCGGCGGCTTTACTCGGAGCGTCTCGTCCAGAATTGCCTCCAAGGCAGGAGCTGCCAAAAGAGAGCAGGATGTTCCCCCTCTTATACTAACTTAACTGTCCTTTATAGGGATGTTTAAACCCTAAACCCTAAACCCTAAACCCTAAACCCTAAAGCCTAAACCCTGAGTGATCCTTTATAGGGATGTTTTTCAAGGGCCCTATTCTCCCTGGGGGCTGTTAGTAGAAGGGGGGAACATCCCCCAACTGATAGGATTTGGGGCACCATGTTTTTCGGGCCTAGGGTTTAGGGATTCCCGGTGAGACGGGGAAGAAGCAGAGGAAGGCTAATGACAAGAATCCAGAGGCAAAGCAGCAACCACGGCAGAAAAACCAGAAAATGCCTAAACCCTAAACCCTACACCCCAAACCCCAAACCCTAAACCCTAAACCCTAAACCCTAAACCCCAACCCCCTGCAGCGCACCTTAGACCACACTGAAGACCCCTGAGCCTTAAGCTCTAAACACGCAGTCAATTCCGTACAGTAGCTAGAGGCTTTGATTTCGGTGAGTGTTGTGTTGAGGTAACTTGGGGTTGTCGCGACCGCCAGGCTCAAGGTTTTCGAGGCTGGCTATGCTGAATTGGGAAGTAAATACTGACAAAATTTATAAGGCTTGAGGGTCGAGGGTTTAGGATATCAGCACTTTTTGCTGTTGGTCATCGGCTCTCCGCCATCCGCAGAACACCTCAATCCAGAATGTCGTCCAGGCCGGCATGAAATCTATTGGGGAGTAGGGCTTTGCTTGCTCGGAGCTTTAAGCTTTAGAGCTGTACAGCTTGGGCAGTGGGGGGAAGGTTGGGCCTTAAATGCTTCAGGAACCCTAACCCTTTAAGTCCGAAACCCGAAACCCCCCGCTGTAAACCCCAAACCCCCTAAACCCCCAAACCCCTAACCCTCAAACCCCTACACCCGAAACCCCACAACCCGGATTAGAAACACCACAAACCCGAAAACCGCTAAACCCTAAACCCTATACCCTAAACCCTAAGCCCTGAACCCTAAACCCTAAACCCTAAGCCCTGAACCCTAAGCCCTGAACCCTAAACCCTAAACCCTAAACCCTAAACCCGAAACCCTAAACCCTAAACCCTAAACTCAACCGCAAACCCCAAGCAGCCTGCAGGTAGCTGAGCTTCTTGAGATCGCTCTGGGTGCCTGCAGGCTTTGCACTGGCCTCTGCGTAGGCCTTGTCCCGCACCTCACAGGGTTTAGGGTTTAGGGTTTAGGGTTTAGGGTTTAGGGTTTAGGGTTTAGGGTTTAGGGTTTAGGGTTTAGGGTTTAGGGTTTAGGGTTTAGGGTTTAGGGTTTAGGGTTTAGGGCTTCGGGTTTAGGGTATAAGGCTTAGGTGGGGTTTGGGGGTTTAGGGGTCGGGTGTAGCCGTTGAGGGTGTAGCCGTTGAGGGTTTTTGAAGGTTTAGCATGTCGGGCTTAGGTTGCCTACACATGACCCTACGCATACATGCACGCATGCATGTGTCTAGATTACGTAGCAGCGGAATTCCCCTAGCATTCCCCTAAAGCCAAAAGGACCGCGGCATTCTTTCAAGGGTCCTGGCCTCAGAAGCAGAGGACATCAGGCAGATGGCATTGGACAGCAGAGATGCCAGCTCCACGTAGGCACCCCAAACCTTCGTCAGGATTCACGGCTATGGGTTTAGGGTTTAGGGGTTAGGGTTTAGGGTCTAGGGTTTAGGGTTTAGGGTTTAGGGTTTAGGGTTCAGGGTTTAGGGTTTAGGGTTCAGGGTTTAGGGTTCAGGGTTCAGGGTTCAGGGTTCAGGGTTCAGGGTTCAGGGTTCAGGGTTTAAGGTTTCGGGTTTAGGGTTTAGGGTTTACGGTTCAGGGTTTAGGGTTTAGGGTGTAGGGTCTCGAGCCCCAGCCTTGTGTCGCATGCTTTAGGGTTTAGGGCTTAGCAAGCACCCCAGACGAGGGGCCATGAGCATGGAGGCGGTGGCCACGCGATCAACGCTCCAGTTTTCCCCGTTTTCATCCTCGCTCCTTTGCTGCGCCGTGGCGGTTTAGAACCCTAAACCCTAAACCCTAAACCCTAAACCCTAAACCCTAAACCAAGGCTTTCACACAGTATCATGGAAAGGACTGGCCATCAGACTCTCAGCATGCCAAGGAAAGGTTCTCGAGCGATTACATGGATGTGCACAATAGCTGAGTCGACTGAAACGGCCATCCTGGATGTTTAGGGGTTTAGGGTTTAGGGTTTAGGGTTTAGGGTTTAGGGTTTAGGGTTTAGGGTTTAGGGTTTAGGGTTTAGGGAATCAAGTTCATAACATCCCAGACCTACAAATTCTGAGCTTTAAGCACGACATGGCCCTGCCGAAGCTCTTCATCATGCGCCGCAATGCCGAGTACTTTGGCTCCTGTTTTCACTAGAATATCCAGGAGCTGTCCCAACACACCGATGTTTCAAAACGTTTATGGCTTCAGAGTGCAGTTTAGAGTGTTGTAACACAGGCTGCTTGGCATCACTTTTCCGGGGTGCATGCACATGTTCTGCGCCGGAGCTCGGAAGCTGTATTGCAATCGCCGGCCGCGAACAAGACTCCATACGTCTGTTTCCCTCTTAAAGGCTCTACATGAGCAGGGATACTGTAATGCCTGGCGCTAGCTCGTGACTTGCAGCAAGCGCATGCGATCATCATCGCCATCCCAACAACCACCAACACCATCACCCGCACTCCACCCGTTATGAGCGGACCACTAGCACAACCAGGGCAACAGAGGAAAGCAATATCTCACGGTCTTGAAAGGATAGAAACAAGCATGAAGGCACAACAATACGATGCTGAATCGGGTTCACGAGCATTGCAACCCGTGTCACCATCATCAACATCATCAGGACTGTGACTATAACCACCCGCATCATCTCAGCCAGCAGCATCATGAGCAGCATCATGATCGTCATCAAGACAACAGTAACAGTAACAGAAACAATAACAGTAACAGTAACAGTTCTCCAACAGTAACAGTAACAGTACCAGTACCAGTCCCAGTAGCAGTAACAGTAACAGGAACTGACAGTAACAGTAACAGTAGTAGTAGTAGTAGTAGTAGTAGTAGCAGTAGTAGTAGTAGTAGTAGTAGTAGTAGTAGTAGTAGTAGTAGTAGTAGTAGTAGTAGTAGTAGTAGTAGTAGTAGTAGTAGTAGTAGTAGTAGTAGTAGTAGTAGTAGTAGTAGTAGTAGTAGTAGTAGTAGTAGTAGTAGTAGTAGTAGTAGTAGTAGTAGTAGTAGTAGTAGTAGTAGAGTAACAGTAACAGCAACAGTTCCCCAACAGTAACAGTAACAGTAGCAGTAACAATATCAGTACAAGTACCAGTACCAGTAACAGTAACAATAATCGTAGTAGTAGCAGTAGTAGTAGTAGTAGTAGGAGTAGTAGCAGTAGTAGCAGTAGCAGCAGTAGCAGTAGCAGCAGTAGCAGCAGTAGCTTGGGCTCCTCGATCCCAGTACCAGTAACAGTAACAATAATCGTAGTAGTAGCAGTAGTAGTAGTAGTAGGAGTAGTAGCAGTAGTAGCAGTAGCAGCAGTAGCAGTAGCAGCAGTAGCAGCAGTAGCTTGGGCTCCTCGATCTGGCCACTCTGCGTCAGTTCCTCGATCTGTCGCCGGAGCCGGCCAACAAGCTCGTCCTTGGCCCGAAAACCGCGGCCAAAAGCCGTGAAGGGGAGCTTCAGGGGAATCAGCCCATAGAGCCCCTCGTTGTAGCTGTAGAGCAGCCGCATCATGTCCCTGTCGAATGGGATGCCGGTGAAGAGCTCGGCGAAGAGTGTCACACTCCAGTCCTTGAGCTCCTGCGCCGGCCGGAATTTGCCTCTGGACTCCACAGAATCCAGAAACTCTGAGCAGCGTGCCTAGTTCATGGTTGGGATACTATTAAAAATCTGTTTCTTCCTTATTGGGTTTAAGTACTCTTGAAGATGCAAAATGGTACCCAACTATGACGAGGGTGCCTTGATTACCGGTAGGAAGAACTCGAAGGCCTCCTCACATAGCGCAGAGTTGATCAGTCCCACACGGCTGGTTTTGTGGGCCTCCCCCGCAAGATTCATAGTGCCGTACTCAGTGTGCAGCTGCGAGAAAGTATCTGGCAAAGCAGACTTTGTGATGTTCTTCTCAACATTAGTAAAGCCGGTCACGCCGTCCGCACCACCTACAATAACAGTTTTCCGGCCGAAGTAGTTCATCTGAAACACCGGCCCATATGCTTCGACTCGCTCAGCGATGTATCCATCAGGATCCTCCAGAGATTCCGAGAGAAGGAGGTGTCCAGGGCTTTAAGGGTTTGGGGTTGAGGGTGTCCAGGGCTGATAATTCCCCTAACCCTAATCCCTTCATGGCCTTATGATAGGCCCTGAAAGTCTCATAGCATCCCTGATGATGGTAGTTTTAAACCCTTTGAGAACCCTAAACCAAAGGCCTAAGGCCCTAATCCCCCGAGCCTTCACGTACTTCAGCAAATCGAGGAAGGCGTTGCCGGGCTTTCCAGGAGGAAGCGGCAGTTCCACGACAGCACCCTCAACGGCACCATCGGCGGCTCGGCCGACCCGGCCGCTTCTTCTGCCACGGCGGACGGAAAGAATCGCGGAAGCACCGAGAAGTAGACCTGTGGCAATTTGCTTGACTTGCCTTAAACAAATAGCAAGGCGGGTTCAGCAGCCCTTCTTTTGGAAGTCTTGCATGGCAGCCTGCTGAAAGCCTCTTCAGGTGCTCTTCCTGGGGCTTTCGTCGAACATCTGGGGCACGAAAAGCCGCTTGCAGCAAGGGCCGCGCATGTCCATGGCAGGATGGCGAAATGGCTGCCATGGTAGCTCAAACAGACGGTTTGAACACCGTTTCAGATGGGAATCGCGTGCTGACAGCATATTCCACAACACGAGGTCTGCAACCACAACTTGAACAACTAGAACATCAAAGATTGCAGACTTACCATGAACCGCAGGTCTATCCAGAGAGCCAGTTCTGGAAAGGTGGTCCGGAATGCGGATCAGGCGCTCACTACCCCCCACCAACAGAGCCTGCAGCCTTTTAGGCTTTAGGAGAACGACGCCATTTGCCTATTCGTGTGTGTCTCACGCCACAAATCTGCAATCCGCTTTGCTATCACAAAGCATACTCAGTCTTCAGATTCAAGCTCTGCGGCAGGAGCTAAACTTGCATTGTGGCACGACTTCTCGGTTCTGCCGATGACGAACCTGAATAAGAAGGGTGCCAACTGCCGAAAAGGAGCTATCCAATGAGTGCCATGTCTCTACCCTAGTCCAAAACATCAGCCCACGCCCGGACAAACTGGGGGAGTATTGCGCTCGAGCGTTGCGACCCAACACTGCGAACATGTTCTGCCACTAAGAGCAGGCTCCGAACACTACAACGAGCCCACCATCCACTCCATATGTACAACACTGAATAGCACTCACACGTAACAACATGTCATGACCTCAACATACTGCATGAGGTAATCGTTGTGTCATAAAGGATGGAGACCCCTGTGCCGGACGACGGTGGCGGTGATGTCAGCAGTGCAGTCAAACATCACTCAGCCCTAGACGCTGAACCCCAAACCCTAAACCCCAAACCCTAAACCAGTGTGCGGACCGAAGGCTCTGCACACCAAGCACAGCACAGATTTTTCAGCCAGTTAGGCCGGAAGGATGGAAAACAGATTGGGTCCTCTTGAGCAGCACCATGCAGACTAAGGCGCCACAGTTGGAGTTCCGTGCACCTGCTCTTCGTCTCGTCTCCTGTCACCTGGAACGTCTTGGTTACTGGTTTTGGATGTGAGGCTGAATGGCTGCCTGTTCTTTCAACACTTCGCGGTGAGCTAAAGAGGCCCCCCGACCCCATGAATTGTGTCGCCAAGGCCTTGCACCCTGGCAGCGGGTTCAGGGTGCAGGGTTTGGGGGTTTTTGAGTTTAGGGATCAGGCTGAGAGTTTCGGGTTTGGGTTGCTTAAGTTTAGGGCTCAGGGTGTAGGGTTCTGGGTCGATGACAGTCTCGTGGGCCTTGTGATCATTTGATTTCAGCCGATAGCATCCAAGGCCACAGCCTCTCTTCAGAATGCACTCTAGTGACCTTGCATTACTCAGAAATATGCAGCAACCTAATTGTGTCGTAAGCATTCGTACTGATGCATCACAGGAGGAAACTTGTAATTCAAACAAACATGTTGACGATGCCCTTCTAATTATTGGTTCCGTCTGAGCAGGGACATGTGCTGTTGGACTCGGCTAGATATTGACCAGAAAATACAAAACCCAGCCGACTTGTGCTCCTGCTCCTACTGCTGATGTTGCGTCCTCCTGCGCCACTACTACTCACCTAGCACGGCCGGTTCTGCTGTTGGAGTTCTACCTTAGGGTTTAGGGTTTAGAGTTTAGGGTTTAGGGTTTAGGGTTTAGGGTTTAGGGTTCAGGGTTTAGGGTTTAGGGTTTAGGGTTTAGGGTTTAGGGTTTAGGGTTTAGGGTTTAGGGCATCACAGAGAGCAGCCCACTCTTTCGTTTCGTCACAGAATGGGGTTTAGGGTTTGGGGTCTAGGGTTTCGGGTCTAGGGTTTAGGGTCTAGGGTTTAGGGTTTGGGGTTTAGAGGAATAGGGTTTTGGACATCAGCCTGAGGCCACGAAAGCTTAGATCAGTTTGTGCATCCTTGGAACGTTCAGCTATTCTTTGAGCGAATCGTTCAGCGAAGTGTAGGGATAACTTCTTCAATGGCCAGTAGAAACTGGTCATATTTGGAGGCCCAGGTGTCTAGTAACTGTACACGACAATCACATGGGCTCGGACATCTTCGCGTGATGTTTCGCGGCTCACTGGAAAAGCTAGGTAATTTTTGCAGCACGCACACGCCTCAGCAGAGGTTCACGAGAACATGGGTGCGGCACTCACTTTCAAGGACCTGGCTTTGTTTGAACCTTTCAACTGTGTATTTATTCTTTTCATGCGGCTTTTAGCTGCGTTGAATCTTTTTTATGGTCCGGTTTAGGCGGCAAAGCATTTCTGAATTCAATCGACATGGAAGTCCATTTTCAAGAGGGACATGAATGATGCAAGTCACTTTGGTGGAGAGGCAGTTTTTGGCAACATCGTCCTGCAATTGAAGGATTCGTCGAATCCAGGGAAGAGGATCACCCTTCTTCCAAAATCGGGGAATTTGCCATCCAGCCGACAAAGGGGTATTCATACGAATCTTGTCGCCTTGGCCAACTAATACACAGAAGGCAGCAGCACAATCTGAGGGTGAACATTATCCTCTAAACGGGCTTCGAGTCGCAAAGCTTGCAGTTTGGCAGAAGCCTTCGACAAATCCCATTTACGGATAAAGACAATCAAGCAAGCAAGCGCTTGAGTCCAGGTGAATTTTGATGGCAGTGTTGCATTGGTTTTGAGTCCATTTTGTCCAAAAAGAAAACATGAGGGCAAAATCCTGACATGCACTACCCCATTTGTTACACTCAGTGCGTGTGGTGGGTGGGTTCCACTGCAATGGCAAAGCGCTGGGGGAAGGCCTCAGTCATATGTTTGCTGACAAGAACGAGCTAAGTGGTTAGCTTCCACTGGTTCTAGCGCATGCTCTTCAGGAGCAATTTGCTGAAACGACTGAGGGTCACGATTCATTTCCATCCATTGCCACAGGAGTGAGGACCTGACCAGCTCCTACTTCTGAGGGCGGCGCGAACTGACACAAGTTGAGCAACCAAAAGCTGAAAATTGCGCCAATCATCTTTGAGCGCAGTCGGCATGTCACATGTACAAATCACTTCGTTTTTTGCACAGGGATGCCAATCAATGCGAGCCGAGCTCCAAAGGCCAAGACTGTCTTAGCTCATTGAAACGAGGGCAATCGTGGAGGATGTGTTCGATGGTGCTGTCATCATTGAGACTATACAAAACGGGCAAGTGGGTGTGGCTCTTATCCGCATTTGACAAAGCCGGTAAGAGGCAGCATGAGCATCCAAAAACAAACGAATGATCAAATTACGAAAAGGCGAAGATGGCAAAAGCTTCGTCATAGTCGCGGCATAAAAATCAGTATGAGTGACTCCTTGCCATGTAGCATGTTTTGCTCCACGTACTGCTAACAATGCCTACGAATCTGCTGATGAATGAAGTGCTCAAATTTCTTTTTGTCTGGCTCCGTAAACAAGATGCTTTCATTGTGATTGGTGCTGCAAAGGGCATCCGCATCAGGCACAAAGCTGCAATCAAGCCATGCAACGTCTCTCTGAAGGATCGTCAAGTGACCGATGAGATTTTGCACAGATTGCTCCATCATATCTTTCAGTTGCTGCGCCAGCCAAGGAGCTTGAATGAAGACTACTCTCTTGTTGTCACACTCCATGGCACTTACAGGATCAAAAAGGTGTGTTTGCTCACACAACACACTGTGCGCTGCCTGAGTCTGGCATTTGCGGACAGCAGTGGCTTCAAATTGTTGATTATAAGCTGTCAATCTGTGCTTTTGTGGGTCGTGCAACTGAACAAGGACACGCAACAATGGTGCTGTGTGATCTGACGATCATGTTCAGAACAACACAGCATGTTTCAGAAGTAATACCGGATTGTGAGGAAGCATCAGATCTTGGAATCATGAGCCAGGAAACTAGACGGGCGGCAAGGCGGTGTTTGAGGTGGAGAACCCAGCGCCTGAACGAAGGGTAAAGGGAAAGACCAAACAAGCAGAAATGCAGGAGAATAATGAGCCGGTCCACAAGGCGGAGATCTATGCAAATCGGGTCTTGACCACTGGAAGACACATCATGCCTGAGGACTTTTTTTTAGTCAGGGGGACTGTGGGAGTGCATTTTTTTTTGTGTTTTTTTGTTTCATGAGGTTTGCCATGTTACACAACTCACTAATATAAATGAAAACGCCCAACCCGAATAAATTCTATAAGTCTACATATCAAGTAGTGAATGTATAGAACCTAATAGACTGAGATTACCATGATTCCAAATCTTGCTTTAGTTGGTGAATATATCTTGCTTATTGGGGGTGAATGCGTTATGAAGGTGGCTATTATGATTTCAAGTCTTGTATATCGGGATGGTGAATGTAGATATCAAGTCTTGCTTATTGAGGGATAAGTGTAAGTTCCAAGTCTGTTTATCAGGAAGTGAATGAGTTATTAGGGGAATAGTTACTTTTATTAGTCTTGCTGATTGGTATGGGGTGAATGCAGCTCTTCAGTATTGCTTTTTCGAGGGGGGGTTGAATACGTGACTGGTGGACGAATACCTGGGTTGCATCAATATGGCTTTTGTGATTCAAAGACTTCACAAAGAAACACGTTGCATCGGAACACCGTGTTTTGTTCACAAAAAAACAGACTTTTAAAACAGAGTTCACACCAGCAACTCCATAAAACAACGGTTTATCTGAGATGCATATACAAGCTATGGGAATGACCAATGAATGATTCCTGTAACTCAAAAAGCATGTAAACTTACGAAGGTCGGCAAAACTACATGTAGGTGAATCTATGTCTATACATGAAATGGCAATAAAACTCACAAACACCATGCCTATAATAAAGAGTCACCGATATTATTTGACGCCTCTAACAACACGAAACATCATTCTGGCAGCAATTTTACTGCATAGATTTCCCACAAAACCTCTAGCCAAAAAAAGGAAGAAGCTAGGCTAGAATGGACTGGACTTTTTTGACTGTGAGGTCACTGGAGCTTCCCTACCTTTTCGATCAATTTTGCTGTGCGTTTCAGATTCTCCAGGTTTTGGTGCAAGGCCTGAAGGCAGAAGAGGAGAAAAGAAGGGTGCAGAGTCAACGTCGGTGGAAACTGCAGCTTGGAAAAGTGACAGTGCCGTTTGGACAGAAATCAACTGCAGGACGAGACGAGTTCAAGCGTGGTGTTGATTCGTTAAGGTTGCGCGCGACGTCCAAGCCAAACCACTTGAAAATTGCAAAGTGTATTACCAGAATGTGAATAAGTGCGAGCGAAGCGAGCGAAACACCAGAGTAAATTCAACAAATTTTAACTGATCAAATGTTGATTTTGAGGGTTTTTTCACATTTTCGGAGACTTCAGAAATTTTGAAAATTCGTTGAATGGTGCTGAATCCAGAGAAGAATTGCAACACGCAACCAAAACGAAGACAAAGAATTGAGGGCACTCAGTCTGAAAAAAAAGAAAAGCAGAGTTTCTTCTACTCAATCTTCTGTCAAAATTTCAGTGTGCCCTGATGTCTGTTTGGCCATTTTGGGAAAATCAAAGACAATCTGGCCATGATGAGAGGTGGCATGGAATCTCAGAAGTGACCCACCAAATCAAAAAAAACAGTGACCTTGCAGTGGTGTCTGTGTGTGTTTACCTCGTTTTTTC